AAAGTCTTTAATAACACAAACGAAAGCTATAATTACCATGTTTTCTTATTAAAAAACGTATCTTTGCAAAGACTATGTCACAAATCACAAAGACTCTGTCACAAATCATAAAGTTTCTGTCGCAAAAAACAAAGACTCCAATCTCACTGTAACGAAGTTCCCAACCAGTGATAACGCAACAGCGTTCAAAATAGATTGTACATGTGATATTCAGCGAGGGGCTGTGGTGTGCGATGTTTTAACTTGTACTGGATTTAGACAGAAAGATCTGGGCATTGCTACAAGGAGCTGATTCCAGAATCATCTGCCATAGACTGACTGACTGAGTTTGGTTTTACGCCGCTTTTAGCAATATTCCAGCAACATCACGGCGGGGAACACCAGAAATGGGCTTCACACATTGTACCCATGTGGGGATTCGAACCCGGGTCTTCGGCGTGACGAGCGAACGCTTTAACCACTAGGCTACCCCACCGCCCCCATCTGCCATAGAGAGTATTTCAGAATCTTCTAGTATCTCAGTGGCGTGTATATATCTACATTACATCTCAAGTTACATGAAAACCAGCACAGTGTGTTATGATCACTATACCCTAAATCCTCAAGTCGGATTTCTGTGGCTGAGTTTGTGAATATTGCCATCACTGGCTTCATTGCACGAATCACTTATTCTCTATGACATTTGAATTTGCACTGCCACTCTGCTTTGTACTGACATAGTTATTACCTTTCTAGGACCGCCTCCGTGGTGTAGTGGTTAGAGCGTCCGCCCGGAGAGCGGAAGGTCGCGGGTTCGATCCCCGACCGCGTCATACCAAAAGACGTTAAAATATGGTACTTGTTGGTCCCTGCCTGGCGCTCGGCATTAATGGGTACAACAAGGACTGGTCGGCTCGGAGTCAGTATAATGTGCTTCACTGCGGCATGGTATCTCAGTGGGCTAGCACTATAAAACCAGCTTAAGTCTGGGCTAGTACAAGCAGCCACACATACACACACGCGCGCATGCACGTCGTCATATGAGCGAAATATTCTCAAGCACGACGTTAAATCCAATTTCACCTCACCTCACCACCTTTCTAGTGATGTGCGAGTTTAATCAGTTTTAGAATACTGTTGTAAATTGCATCACATTTCTGTGTTTAGTTTCACCCAGTCCTTTTACGGCCCGATTCCCGGTTAACGTTTTAGTTTCAACGTGGGAAACAACAGGTAACATCTTACATATAGATATGTTAGGTTACACGAAATGTAGAAACGTCTTCTTGTAAGACGTTATACCTGAAAAGACCCTTTTAAAGAGCAGTTTCCTTTTTTGTAATCACTGAAAGGTGAGCTATGTTGTGTGGACGTGGATTTCCTTCTTCAAATAGTTTAACATTATTAGTCCACTTAAGGAATCACGTGACCACTGGTGAAGTAAAGGACTGTTCAAGACCTGGAAGACCGAGATGACCAATGGCCGCGATGACCTAGCCTGGCAAGACGCAATTCCATGACCAAGCACACGCAATAACCATTCCCTTGCCAGTCGTCAGATATTCATGGATGACTACGCTGAAACTCATCTTCTTTTATATATTTATTGCTTATACACCTGCAGAAATCACTGAAAATACTGACCAGCAAAAGAAACGCAATTCAAGAAATCAAACCAATTGTCAAATGAGTGAGGAGGTACCGACCAGCCTTCAGCTTGGTTTCGTAATTAGACTGTTGGCGAGAAACATTAATCACTCTGGGTCAGTGGCCCTTTAAGTATCAAATCCAAACTCATGCTGAAAAAATATAATTTTCATGAATTGTGAGTTGCGTTTTTAATGCTGGTCAGTATATATATAATTGTGGGTGGTGCCAGATTAATGCTCGTGTGTATATAAATGAGTACATTGAGATTCAAACTGATGTAATACTTCCCACAAAGAGAGTAATAAAAGTGGGTAATAAGACGGTGACTTCAACTTAGTGGTCACCCTTCTCTGTATGGAGGGGCGGTGGGGTAGCCTAGTGGTTAAAGCGTTCGCTCGTCACGCCGAAGGCCCGGGTTCGAATCCCTTCATGGGTACAATGTGTGAAGCCAATTTCTGGTGTCCCCCGCCGTGATATTGCTGGAATATTGTTAAAACCGGCGTAAAATCAAACTCACTCACTCACTCACTCACTCTGTATGGACAATCGAGCTTCCTCCTTACCCAAAGACTTCATACAACTCTTGCTGAAAATGTGTTTGATCAACCTGTAACATCAAGGCCTCAATAATGTTTTCAAGAGTTTCTTGGTGGAAGACATTTCTAAACTTGACGCAAATGATGTCTGATGCAGTTCGAAATTCCCAATTTTGATATTTTTGTCAAGAATGGATTGATTTGTGGTGAATAACTGACCTGCTACTGTATGGGTGGATGTGGAGGGGCAATACACCCTCACCATTTTACCAACATCTGGTATCAACACTATTTAATACTGACTCAAAAACACTACCCACAATCTAGATGAAATCGTGCAATCTTTTAACATGTACCGCTTTATTAATATGGAAAGAGATTTGCTGTTTCATTCACCATTAGGCTGCCTAAGTAACACTTTACCATAAAGAATCTGGCATCCTGGAATCTCAGATCCCCGGGAAACAGCAACACTGTTGTCTGGACAACCAGACCACCTGTGCCATCATCCCATAGCTTGCAAAATTTGGTGCAAAAACAAGAAAAATCACTCACAATCTTTCTGGGTATTTTTTTATTTTTATCAATAACATTACAGAAAATAAATTGTTTGATTGTTTTAAACATGTATTTAAAACTTATATCTGTACAATAGGATGTTCATATAAATTTGTACAAAAGTGATGTAAAATGGACTGTCCTCCATGGAGGGAAAGTTGAAGCATGTAGTAACGCATTGTAGGACAATGACACCGATATGTACATTATGATATGTCGATTTCCTCAATGTGCATCAATGACAATGATATTCACACATGATTATACACAATCAGACAGCACGGACATATTTACAACAGTTGTCATGGCAACTTCACCAACATTATTCACACACACAAAACCACTATAACCTAGGGTTGTTCTTGATTGATTGAGTTTAGTTTTACACCACCCTCAGCAATATTTCAGCTATTAGGCGGTCGTCTGTAAATAATTGATTCTGGACCAGACAATCCCATGATTAACAGCATGAGCACCAATCTACACAATTGGGATACGATGACAGGTGTCAACCAAGTCAACGAGCCTGACCACCCGATCCTTAGTCGCCTCTTACGACAAGCATGGGTTACTGAAGAACTATTCTAACCCAGATCTTCACTGATGGGTTGTTCATGAAGATCCGCTATTATTGGCTGTTCGAGATTGCCATCTCACATTTGATATATATGTCTTCACATACATCCACACACTGTATACACAAAAAAAGAATATCAATACAGATGAATATTTTGTCATAAAAGTCAGATCAATGTTTCTTAAAACATATCATATATAGCAGTTAAAAACTACATGGCATCAACATTAGAATTGTTTGATGGTTGTTGTTTAATGCTGTACTCTGGCTATATGGAGTAATCTGTAAATTATTGATTCAGCGATCATCACCGTCGGCATCAATTAGAGTGAGTGAGTGATTATGGCTACACGCTGCTTTTAGCAATATTCCAGCAATATCAAGGTGGGACACCAGAAATGGGCTTCACACATTGTACCCATGTGGGGAATTGAACCTGGGTCTTTGGCGTGACGAGCGAATGCTTTAACCACTAAGCTACCCCACCGATTAGAAATACAAGAACTCTTTACATTGCTCTCTGCTACTGTGACACCAACCCTTATATGGTAATAAGGATTATGTTGGATAATTTTCAAAAATGTGTAAATCAATAACCACCATATGGATAATCTTAGTTTTTCATAAGTCATTGTCTGTATTCCTGATCTGTAAACCTTTCCATCACAAGGATTTGACTATTCCTAATTCATTGGTTTTAAATGTGAGGTCTGCCATTGAATCATTAACCTGTTGGAAAAACAAAATGGAGAAAAGGTAATGTGACCTAATAGTTGAGAAGAACGTGTGCAAGATACTGGATAACACCCTTCCCCCATCAACACACACCCATTCTAACCCCGACCCCCACTAAAAGCCTTCCACCCCTTTAACCCCCCTCCTCATCAACTACCATCTCCCCCAACCAAACACTCCTCCCTCAATACAATTCTTCCTTACACACTGCACCCCCACTAACATCCCAGCCACATTATCATCCCTGTCTTTCATCTATTTTGATCAGCCTCCAAATAACTCACAGGGAGTGAGTGAGTTTGGTTTTAAGCCACTTTCAGCAATGTTCCAGCAATATCCCAGTGACACCAGAAATGGGCTTCACACATTGTACCCATGTAGCAAATCGAACCAGGGTCTTCAGCGTGATGAGCTGAAGATTTAACCACAAATATTTTCAACAAATAATTCACAGATTTTAATTGAAAACTACACCTACATGAGTACAAGATACACTCATGATGAACAGGAACATTCTCCAAATAATATTCAAAGTGGTTCTACGTGGTTCTATACATGTTGAGCAGGAACTCTTGATGATCTTACACTATGACATAGATTCTGCTCCCTACCAGGTCCCACACTGTACAACATGAATCTCTGCATACTGCAATGACTGTATTACGCGGGCACGCGCGTCATGTTATCATCTAGCAGGCGTCTCAGTTTATTGACAACTCGTATCATTATCAGTTTGAATGTCTATTGTACAAACAACAGAGAGTTAACTTCATGTTATCTGTTAAGCGCATTTGTTCATCAGCAGGTATTTCAGTCGACCTTAAACTTTTGTTAGAAGGAAGTGCAGACCTATTATCATGTGAAAATGTAAAAGTAAACAAGTTAGTGCAGTCGTTCATTAGTGAGACAAAACGATTTGTATAGCATATTGATATCATTCTGTATAAGCTCTATCTCTTTTCACTTATACTACTTTCTTGTCCACTATCTGTCATCTTTAGTTGCGGGAATCTAAATTACCTATGTACATACCAAGGAGAGGGTATTCTAAGTTGGAGAACTTGTTCCTAATCCTTTTCTCAGTGAATAAAATATGTTTAAAACAAAACAATCACTGTATTGCAAGGCACGGGCGTCATGTAATGATTGTCAATCTGTGATAATTGCCACCTTCATTACCATACTTCAGGTCAGCGTGTAACAGACACGGTACTAGTCTCCAGGTCATTCCAAACGTTACACATGTTCTACCAATACCACAGGAAAGAAATAGAACTCTTATTGCATGGACATTATCAATATTGTTGCAGTTGTATGATTCTAGTATCAAATTAAAACACACCTCAGAAAGCCTCAATGTACAACATCAATGTAGTGAGGATACACCCATTATTGCCTACTTGGAGAAATATGGCAAGTATTGCAAGAAGTACTCGGATTTAATGGCTATGTCTGTATATACAGGGGTTGGTCACTAGATGTCTTGGGCTCCATGTCACTTTGAACAGTATATCAGTCATATCACGGCTTAATGTTGGAGGGAAGTCGGGCGTATCAGGGACAAACATTACAAGAACATGTACCTCCTCATATAGTGACATTAACGACATTAACATGTAGCAAAACTCTCAACAATGTCTACACCCCACCAGCCCTCAGAGTACATTAACTGGTTGGGACTAGTTGCTTAGTGGGATAGTTGTTCTTTCCACACCTGTACACTGACATGAATGACATTGCGTAGATCACAATCAACAAAGTATATTCTATTTTACAGTCAGCCTGAATTATTTGGTATTCAACATTGGGTACTTGTAACTCTGGTTAACTGTCAGTATAGGTTAACTGTCAGTATAGGTTAACTGTCAGTATAGGTTAACTGTCAGTATAGGTTAACTGTCAGTATAGGCTAATAACTGTCTGTCAGTATAGGTTAACTGTCAGTATAGGTTAACTGTCAGTATAGGTTAACTGTCAGTATAGGTTAACTGTCAGTATAGGTTAACTGTCAGTATAGGTTAACTGTCAGTATAGGTTAACTGTCAGTATAGGCTAACTGTCAGTATAGGTTAACTGTCAGTATAGGTTAACTGTCAGTATAGGTTAACTGTCAGTATAGGTTAACTGTCAGTATAGGTTAACTGTCAGTATAGGTTAACTGTCAGTATAGGTTAACTGTCAGTATAGGTTAACTGTCAGTATAGGTTAACTGTCAGTATAGGTTTAGTGTAAGAAAACTGTTGAAATCCCTTGAAACACAAAATATGTATTGCGATACCGAACTCATGATAAATTCTGTACCACAATAACGTTGTTTCATTCAGCCCAGTTGCCATCATGTTATTGCTATCAATCAGTTTGTTCTAACTTGCCTCATCAAGCATTATGTCAAGCTTCATGCCACCATGAACAGGAGGTTAGTCACGTCATGTCCGTCTGATGTGTGGGGAAAGCTTGGTCTCCATTTGACAAGCAGTCCCAGTGCTATGACCATCGTAAGTCCAATATGTTGACAAAGACTTACAACAAATCACTAAAATTATTTTGTGAAATTGTGCCCTTAAACTTCTGTGTCATATAAACACTAAATCGTCTCTCGCTCATCTAGTATCATAAACATCTATGATTCTCCATCCCTGAATAATGTAAAATTATTGGCAAATACTGACAAAATGTGGAGTAGAGTAGCTGCAGAACCCATGGCAGAATCTCTGGTGAGCTGTCTGGGTGATAATGTTGGATCCAGCAACTGTCTGGAAGAAATATACAATAGTAGCATCATCAAGCATTGGTCATATGGTTGGTAAAAATGTTTGCCATGATAAGAATGAACAGTTCACTTTTGGCACAATCATACCATCAAAATACAGAATCATTCCATCGATACATCTATTGTCTGATTTCCCACACATACAAACACACACACTGAAAATAATATCATTTTGTGCCAATTGTCTCTGCCTTGTTTTGAAGGATCTTCCAAACTAGCACCAAGCACTTCCATATTCTACATCCAGTTCTTCACTGTCAGGAATCCAATAAAGGCACTGCATCTCTTAATGAAGTCACATCCACGTTTGTTTAAATATAAATATCCTTGAGTTATCTCCCTTTGAAGGTATCCCCATTCAGTTCCCACACAGGGACTCCGGATCTCGGGTTGCTCCAGCGATGGATCTTTGCCCATGAATGTTTCAATCACATCACTGTCATCCAGCTGAACACAGATCACTTTGTTCTCGGGGAACCACGTTCACAAGAAGTCTGGGTTTGGGCTGTGACCAGTCTTTGGTTATGGCGATGTTCATATTAACCGTTCTTCAGGTGGCTTTTTCAAAACATTTCCTAGTTCCACTCTTGCTCCTGATGTCTCTTGTCTACTGGGGCTGTAAGTTCCCCGAGTTGCCCTCTTCGTCCTGGCCATCATCAGGAATATTATTACACCTGCAACAGAGAGAACACCATATTCATATGTGTGACTGGGTGAGGTGAAATAGGGTTTAGTCGTACTTGAGAATATTTCACTCATATGACGACGTGCATGCATGTGTACATGTGGCTGCTCGTACCAGCCAAGACAAGCTGGTATTATAGTGCTAGCTCACTGAGATATATACATGCTGCAGTTTAGCATGAATACCCCACTCAGACACATTATACAGACAAGCATTTTTACGACAAGCATGGTTACTGAAGACCAATTTTAACCCGGATCTTCACGGGTAGACTGACTGACACACAGTAGAATGAAACATAATCAAACAGAAGATACTTATATGAGTTGAAGTGAAATGGGGTTTAATGTCCGTTCAAGATAATGTCACATGTATAGTGACCTCCATGTACTTTCGTATGCTTGTACTTGTCCACTCTTCTTCCAGTGTTGGCCCAGTAACATACGACACTCTCAGTGCCAGAAGATGTGTTTGGCAGTTACTCCATAAATGTTACAGAATTCATATTTGTGAGTTTGAAAATTCTGAGTTTTAGAATACTGGTTATCTGGGTTTGACTCAGGTCAGCCACCATGTCTAAGCCAGGCCATTGATGGTTGTCAAAAGCATAAGCTTTGTTCCTCCATAAGCGACAAGCTGACACAGGCCGCCAGGTGAGACAGGACAACCAATAATGATTATTATTACAATGCTAATATTTGTATAGCACCAATATCCAGCTCAGCTGCTCAAAGGCGCTTTGTTTTTCTCTCGGTCACTGGATGTCAATCTCAAACGGCGCATCATATCATCAATCTCAACTCCCTGGGGAGCAATCATATCAATTATGATGAGTACTTCCGCTGGTATCCACCCACAACGTCCATGCTCACAGCACAGATTGGAGGTATTGAAGTCTGGAGGTAATGACATGTAAACAGATGTGTTTTAAGTTTTGATCTAAAAACTGTGAAAAATGAAAAACAAGTTATTTTCTGTACTCCTGTTCTTAAAAAATCTGCAAACCTTTCTATTACAACCAATCCACATGACAGTCAGTTCTCATGAAACATACTGGTTTGTACACTTATTGTGACCCAAAACCTTACAAACATGTATGGAGTATACAGGAGAGGTTTAGTGAGTGAGTTTACTGTGGTGATCACACCCTGGACGTACCTATCAAGACGACCAGCAGCACTATAGCTATGATGGGTCCGATGATGTACCAGATGTTCAACTCTTCTGGCCCTGTTACTGGTAGCTGAAATCAAACACACAACAGTAAAACATGGGCAACAATCCACAGTGGGGCACAACATAATACTATCATACAGGTCAGACATTGGGTCTACCTGATCCTTGAGGCTGAAGACATGGGCAACAATCCACAGTGGGGCACAACATAATACTATCATACAGGTCAGACATTGGGTCTACCTGATCCTTGAGGCTGAAGACATGGGCAACAATCCACAGTGGGGCACAACATAATACTATCATACAGGTCAGACATTGGGTCTACCTGATCCTTGAGGCTGAAGACATGGGCAACAATCTACAGTGGGGCACAACATAATACTATCATACAGGTCAGACATTGGGTCTACCTGATCCTTGAGGCTGAAGACATGGGCAACAATCCACAGTGGGGCACAACATAATACTATCATACAGGTCAGACATTGGGTCTACCTGATCCTTGAGGCTGAAGACATGGGCAACAATCCACAGTGGGGCACAACATAATACTATCATACAGGTCAGACATTGGGTCTACCTGATCCTTGAGGCTGAAGACATGGGCAACAATCCACAGTGGGGCACAACATAATACTATCATACAGGTCAGACATTGGGTCTACCTGATCCTTGAGGCTGAAGACATGGGCAACAATCCACAGTGGGGCACAACATAATACTATCATACAGGTCAGACATTGTGTCCAGCTAAGGGACAGACTTTGTAATATTTTGAGACGGTCGATGGTGTCTGTTTCTACTTGTTTCTAAGAGTGCTTGAAGACATACAATTTTTCTTCTGTGTCCAGTTACACATATGCTCTTTGCTAAGTCAATATTTGAGGATTTCTTTTTTTTTTCAAGACAGTTGATTTCTTGTAAACATATTCCATGTGCCCCACCTCTAGAAATGGTCCACAAACTGATGTCTCAAGATCAATATTGATCAAGTCAAAACTGAACACTCGAACTGAATGCTAAGATTCTGTCGTGCACCAAGCATTACTTCTTATTCCCAGACAAACAATAAAAGCCTTCCAAATGTCATACATACCGCCTTCTCACACCTGGGGCCTTCGTAGGCACCTGTACAGTGACACGTTGGTTCAAAGATGATGTTGTCAACGCTTGAGGAGTTGCATGTTCCCTTGTTTTCACAGGTGGTGACAGTACATGGGTCAGTGACGCAGTCCTGCCCTAGGAACCCAGCCTTGCAGGGGCAGGTGAAGTTGCCGGCAGTGTTGTTGCAGATCATGTTGTCATTTTTACAGGTATTGTTCAGCTCACATTCATCTATATCCTCTGTGCAATTGTCTCCTTCATAACCTGCAATGTTTAATTGGTATTTGTTGGAAATTGGTCAAACATACACATATTTTGTTAAAACATATCAGGCAAGTTATGTATTTCAATCCTCATATACATGCACATGTTCAATTTTCTTACATATTTTGGTATTTTTGAATGTAAAAAATAAAAGCAAGCAATACCGATGGTCGTCTATAAATATTCAAGTCTCTGCCAGACAATCCGGTGATTGTTATTATGATCAACGATCCACACATATTGCAATGACCACGATCAAGTCTGTTCTGTTCATTCTGTGAAGCAGATAGATCTGGCCTTGCATCAGAAATACCTGCTCACACACCTTCTTTACATAATGTAATTATAAAACACTGATACACTAGTTTAATAAGCTTAATTCAAACATTAGTATTTGTATCACTTGAAACTGAACAGATAATTCACAATCTAAGAAATCTACTTTCCCAAATCTTATGAAAAATTAATTGAAGAGTGTGCTGACAGAGCATCATACTGTTAAGCATAGAGTGAGTGAGTGAGTTTAGTTTTATTCCAGCTATATAGCGGTGGTCTGTAAATAATCGAGTCTAGACCAGGCAATCCAGTGAGCAACAGCATGAGCATCGATCTGCACAATTGGGAACCAAGGACGTGTCAACCAGGTCAGCAAGCCTGACCACCTGATCTGTTAGTCACCTCTTACGACAAGCATTGGTTGCTGAAGATCAATTCTAACCCAGACCTTAACGGGTCAAGAGCTAAAAGAACTATTGAATGTGATACGTAGATCTTTATTGAGTGAAGATTAACATAAGATATTCTTTATTTGCATCTCACTACAGATCTAAAGACAAAATAAGTCAGTTTTTGGTAAAAGCAGAACCAGCTGTCCCTAAGTTTTCCTACTAACAGACTGACTACATACATTTGCACTGAGATGAGTTCTCATTTTCAAGCTAATGAGTGAAGCCCATTTCTGGTGTCCCCTGCCGTGATGTTGCTGGAATATTGCTAAAAGCAGCGTCAAGCTAAACTCATTCACTAATCCAAGTCAAGAGAAAGGGAGATAATCTAGCATCCCTGCTCATAATGTGAGAAAGGGAGATAATGCAGTAGAGTTGTCTCCCTTCAGTCTTCCTTACCTGTATTATCACAGTTGCATGAAAAGGAAGTGTTTCTCTCTACACACACACCAGGCTTACAGAACTTAGGCCTGCAGTAGTCAATGTCATTTTCACAGTATTGGCCTTTGTAACCCGGGTAACAGTCGCATCCGTAGCTGCCGTCGGTGTTGTTGCAGTGGCCATTTCGACACAGGTGCACGCCGGTGTCACATTCGTTGATGTCCTCCGTACAGTTGTCTCCATCCCATCCTGACAACATACAACAGCCAGGTGAACACAAACGTCTACATACAGGTACACCCACCTACAAACAGGTAAAACCTGTCGGCATTGTGAAACATAGCCCTTCACTTTAGCTCTGAGATGATAACATACCCTGGCATAGAGAATATTTTCTTCAGTATAGTTAAGATTTGTATTTATTAAAAAAACACATGTGAAAAGTGGCCTGCACATTGTACACACCATAATATATTGTGATGTTTTTATCCCAATCCATATTGCTCTGAGCATTTAAACCAGAAATACCATATCAACAAATCCAAAATCAAATACTGGTACAATTTAATCATGTAATCACAGTCTATTCATCTTTATTATGAATTTAATTCAGATACCTTTTCAATTTACACATCAAAGTACATAAGAAAAGGTTAGGCATAAAAAATCTCCCTCAAACACATGAATGAGAGTGGGAGACAGTTTACTCCATGTCAGTGTGACAGTTTTGCCACACTAAGGCTGGTGACACACAGGATGTGGGGCAGACGTGTATTTCTAACTCTTACCATTCTTACAGACGCAGGTGTAGTTGAAGACTTGGATGTCCTGGACACACTGGGCAGTGTTGTCTTCGTCACACGTCTGGTTGAAACACGGACCTCTGATGTCACACACATCACCTACAACATCACATTCACCATTCATTAATCATTCAGATTTCTTCAAATATAAGTACACCTTCCAACTTCATATCACACAAACATGTTTATAAGATACACAAGTTGTATTGTTAGACAGTTAAGAAATACGTGTGTTTTCCTTTTAAGGAAGTATGACATGAAACTATCAATGTTAACATCTCAGGGTTATTTCTCACTCCTTCGTCACATGTGATTCAGCTTATGACAAGGCAAGAAGTATCCAGAAAGTTTGCTACAAACAAGAGAGAAGTTCACAATTGTCATCCATAAAAATGGATAGGAGTCATATTATAGGAATGGATAGGAGTCATAGGATAGGAATGGATAGGAGTCATAGGATAGGAATGGATAGGAGTCATAGGATAGGAATGGATAGGAGTCATCGGATAGGAATGGATAGGAGCTATAGGATAGGAATGGATAGGAGTCATAGGATAGGAATGGATAGGAGTCATCGGATAGGAATGGATAGGAGCTATAGGATAGGAATGGATAGGAGTCATAGGATAGGAATGGATAGGAGTCATAGGATAGGAATGGATAGGAGCTATAGGATAGGAATGGATAGGAGTCATAGGATAGGAATGGATAGGAGCTATAGGATAGGAATGGATAGGATTCATAGGATAGGAATGGATAGGAGTCATAGGATAGGAATGGATAGGAGTCATAGGATAGGAATGGATAGGAGCTATAGGATAGGAATGGATAGGAGTCATAGGATAGGAATGGATAGGAATGGATAGGAGCTATAGGATAGGAATGGATAGGATTCATAGGATAGGAATGGATAGGAGTCATAGGATAGGAATGGATAGGAGCTATAGGATAGGAATGGATAGGATTCATAGGATAGGAATGGATAGGAGCTATAGGATAGGAATGGATTGGAGTCATAGGATAGGAATGGATAGGAGTCATCGGATAGGAATGGATAGGAGCTATAGGATAGGAATGGATAGGATTCATAGGATAGGAATGGATAGGAGTTATAGGATAGGAATGGATAGGAGCTATAGGATAGGAATGGATAGGAGTCATAGGATAGGAATGGATAAGAGTCATCGGATAGGAATGGATAGGAGTCATAGGATAGGAATATATAGGATAGGAATGGATAGGAGTCATAGGATAGGAATGGATAGGAGTCATAGGATAGGAATGGATAGGAGTCATAGGATAGGAATGGATAGGAGTCATCGGATAGGAATGGATAGGAGTCATAGGATAGGAATGGATAGGAGTCATAGGAGTCATAGGATAGGAATGGATAGGATATAGGATAGGAATGGATAGGAGTCAGTTCAAGTTTACAATGAAGGTATGGTAGAGAAAGAATTAAAGGATGCTTGTGTCATACAATGGAGATGCAGTACCATCAATAATGACAAATGAAATACATTGGCAGAATTTCTGTCAGAGTGAACTATAGGTATGATGATTCAACATGAAGGAAAATGAGAATGAAGTAAACATTTGTCAATTTAAACACAATGATTTTATTGAAGAGAAACACCATTATTGGGGATCTGCAAGCATGTCACAGGTAAAACAAGCATGTTTTATTGAGTGCAAGGCCTGTCCCTGACCACAATATCTACCTGGAGCTCTGTGCCAATTTGTGGTCATGGAAACCGGGGAATATAGAACTTTCAAACAGACAGACAGACAGACAGACAGACCTTATTCCATAAAGAGGCCTTGGGCCAATAATACATACTTTCTTGGTGATTTCAAATAATACCCGAGTGAGAATATAGGAGCAGAGCAGGCACAGGTATGAAAATTTCTAAAACAATATTATATAAACAACAAAATGCATTCATAAATTATTGGTTTTAAATCATGAGCCTTACTGTGTACCAATGATAACTGAAGGGCTAGGTGCTTTAGGTTATTAGTGTTGGGTCTCAGTTTCCATACTTTATATAAATACAGACGTATACTATGCAGGATAGAGACATTCCTGTGTACCAGTACTAGCTGTAAGTGCTTATGGATTAATAGTGTTGGCTCTCAGTTTCCATACTTTATATAGAACTTTCATGGCTAATCTGATACATGTGCAAAGTTAACCCAGGAATGTTGCACAGCCTTTGAGTAATGTTCCAAATTACTAATCCTACTCTCATTTAAACCTAAGTCAGATTTTTTATATTAACAGGGAAACGGAAACTTACTTTGTATTTTAACTTTTGTGAACATATTCATAAGAAACAATTTCAGGTTCTGCTCCCCAACATATAAAAAGTCCAATACCAAAAAATTGGCATCTTTCCCATACCTGCGTAGTACTCGGTACAGTTACATCTCCATTTGGTTTTGTCAGCATTTTCACGACAAGTTCCACCGTTGCGACAGTCGACTTGACTACAGTTTACAATGCTGCAGTTGGGTCCGCCGTAGCCGATGGTGCAGTTGCATATGTAGCTGCCCTCTGTGTTGCTGCAGGTGCCGTCGTTCTGGCAGGGGTTGTTGTCACACTCATTAACCTCAACAGTGCATCCATCACCTATACAGGACCAAGTCAGGATTACGTCAAAGAATATTACATAATTGTCTCTGAATTAAACATTCTCTCTGAGTTTTGAACTTAAGACTCAGATTTGATTAGTGTGCACTATATATTATATGATAATGTACTTGATGATGTGTAATATCAAAAATGAAATATGTTCATATAACTTTTAATTTGAGTTTAGTTTTATGCCACACTCAGCAATATTCCAGCTATATGGCGTCAGTCTGTAAATAATCGAGTCTGGACCAGAAATCCAGTGATCATTAGCATGAGCATTGATCTGCACAATTGGGATACGATGACATGAATCAACCAAGTCAGCGAGCGAGATCTTCACGGGTTCTCTCTCATATGAACTGGATCTGAAAATTGTGAAATGACTGTTCGTTCAGCTTAGTGCTGCTTGGTGTAGCGTTTCAGTCATGGCATGTCAGCTTGCTGCAGTAGACAAACACAAAGTGATACAGCTCTTTGGCATTTTACACAGGGTGCTCTTACGAAGCATAAGGTAAACCCATGATTGTAGGCTTCTGGCACTCCAAAGGGACACAATTCTGCACAGCAAATTGACTTAGCCGTGTGTACACTCAAATCTTGACTGGGATATGTTCTTTGCATACAGATAAACATGATGCACCTACCTTCAAAGCCAGTCCCTGTGCAGTTGCACTGGGAGGTTCCTTCTACATCGCTGCAGTTGCCACGCTGGCACGGATTGTTGTTGCACGCATCGACGCTCACAGTGCACTTGTCACCTGTCCAGCCTGACCAACAAAAACAGAAATGGAAAGTTTTCATCTCAAATCTATTATATCTGATAACATATAACTGTTGATAAATACAGTATCAGTGGGTGGGTTTTGGGTGAGTGAGTGAGTGAGTGAGTGAGTGAGTGAGTGAGTGAGTGAGTGAGTGAGTGAGTGAGTGAGTGAGTGAGTGAGTGAGTGAGTGAGTGAGTGAGTGAGTGAGTGAGTGAGTGAGTGAGTGAGTGAGTGAGTGAGTGAGTGAGTGAGTGAGTGAGTGAGTGAGTGAGAACAAGACTATGTTTCACATATAGTTCTCTGTCGGTAATATGAAAGAATCAGATGTTTTTATCTTTCTTTGATAAGTATACATTAAGAAAACATTCTGCTGACACAAAAATCTTTTCCATTGCAGTGCCATGTTTCTGCTGTGCCATATGCCAGGTGTCTGATATCTGACAAAAGCGTCATATGTCTATTTCTCTGCAAATGAGGACAAAGCCATTATGGGCACATGACGTCTGCAGTGGTGGATTGAGATCTGCACAAGGAAATATACCTACATCAGCTGAAAAGGCTGCAGACTTTTTCAAGGAAAACTAAGTTCTATGGATAGTCAACTTCTTTGTTGCAATGAGTGTGACGTTTTGGTTTAGGTACTAACACGTTATCAAGCAAGTAACACTAACGCTGTTAGTACCTACACCAAAACGGCGCACTCATTGCAATAAAGATCTTCACAAGTTGACTATCCATAGAACTTTTCAGTTTTCCTTCATCTTCACAACTTACAAAAATGCCTCTCATTAAAGACAATCAAAAAGAAGAACCCTTTTTCAGGTTTTAGATTGGGAGGGTTGTACTTACCGGCTGTGCAGTTACAAATATATCCGTTGTCTGCGTCCTGGCATATTCCATTATTTTCACAAGCTGACGTCTGACAATCAATGATGTTGGTCTCACAGTTGTTACCATCGAACCCTGCAATACATCATAGACTAGGTCAATAGCATTGTCTACGTTGTTGCCATAAACCCTGGAATACATCAACGACTGGGTCAATAGCTGCTTTATTCAATAGCATTGTCTACGTTGTTGCCATAAACCCTGGAATACATCAACGACTGGGTCAATAGCTGCTTTATTCAATAGCATTGTCTACGTTGTTGCCATAAACCCTGGAATACATCAACGACTGGGTCCATAGCTGCTTTATTCAATAGCATTGTCTACGTTGTTGCCAATAAACCCTGGAATAAAGCTGCCTATTCAATAGCATTGTCTACGTTGTTCAATAAACCCTGGAATACATCAACAACTGGGTCCATAGCTGCTTTATTCAATAGCATTGTCTACGTTGTTGCCAATAAACCCTGGAATACATCAACGACTGGGTCAATAGCTGCTTTATTCAATAGCATTGTCTACCACAGTTGCCAATAAACCCTGGAATACATCAACAGACTGGGTCAATAGCTGCTTTATTCAATATGTCTTCGTTGTTGCCAATAAACCCTGGAATACATCAACAGACTGGGTCAATAGCTGCTTTATTCAATAGCATTGTCTCGTTGTTGCCATAAACCCTGGAATACAGACTGGGTCAGAAAGCTGTCTACGTTGTTTCAATAGCACTGTCTACCACATTCACAAAATATATCTTTCAGAAAGCAAAAGGCAGTGCTATGATTTCTACTGAGGTGATGTAGGGTAATTAGTAAGTAAACTTTAAAATGGCTTCCATGCAGCTTGAAATGTATACTCCTTAGGGGAGACCCTGGTGTTTGAGTTGGAGGTACAAATCCTCCCCTCCCTCCCTGGTGTCTGACCCCCTGCCCCCAACTCACCAGCATCACAGGCACAGGTGTAGGACTGAGTGTCAGGGTTGGAGGTACATTCCCCCTCCCTCCCATTCCCCTGGTGTCTGACCCCAGCTGCTACAGGTGAAGGACCCAACTCACCAGCATCACAGCTACAGCTACAGGTGTAGGACTGGGTGTCAGGGTTGGAGGTACAACTCCCTTCCCCTGGTGTCTGACTCCCTGACCCCAACTCACCAGCATTACAGCTACAGGTGTAGGACTGGGTGTCAGGGTTGGAGGTGCAAGTGTGCCCCAATGGTGAGGTACAACTGACCCCTGCCCCCAACTCACCAGCATCACAGCTACAGGTGAAGGACTGAGTGTCAGGGTTGGAGGTACAACTCCCTTCCCCTGGTATCTGACCCCTGCCCCCAACTCACCAGCATCACAGCTACAGGTGTAGGACTGGGTGTCAGGGTTGGAGGTACTCCCTTCCCAACTGCCCCCTCACCAGCATCACAGCCCTGGTGTCCCCTGCCCCCAACTCACCAGCATCACAGCTACAGGTGTAGGACTGGTGTCAGGGTTGGAGGTACAACTCCCCTCCCCTGGTGTCTGACTCCCTGCCCCCAACTCACCTGCATCACAGCTACAGGTGTAGGACTGAGTGTCAGGGTTGGAGGTACAATTCCCCTTGCTCCCACACGTCTGAACAGTACAGAAATCCCTGGCTCGTTCACAGACTGGTCCTTCATATCCCGCAGTACAGGTACAGTTGAATGAAGATACAGTCTGGAAGGAACAATGACATCATAGCAAATAAACAACACCCTGATTCACTATCTCCGTATATTGCCATATGGCAGAAACAATACCACAGTAGAGTTACTTTTAACATTTGACCTGTACCTAAGATAATAATGTAGAATATGATTACATGTACGACAGAAACAGACTGGGGCCTGGGTCTAGTAAAATATATTTTAGTTCTGTAAGCTCTGTTAATAATGCTCCATCAACAAAATTCCATTGATGTCCATGTCTGTGAGAGACCAGGTTGGGCTACCTCCTTTGAGTCAGCATTTAGAAGCTGGTATGATGAAGAGGAACACATTCTTATGGATAGACAACTTTTTATTGCAATAGATGCAACGTTTCGGTGTAGATCCTAACACCGTTATCAAGCAAATTAAGCAGTTTGGGCTAGAGCCATTGAATGCAGAGACCTGTAAGTATGCACATCATTGTGCTTAGTCCAGACAATCCAGTGATTGATATTGTAAGCATCAGTGCACGCCACCAACATCTACAAGTCCCCAACTGACAAATCACGTAGGTCACCTGTCCCTGTTTGGGATGTTTAACCCAGAATCTACACTGATAGCATCACAGGGAATGGAGGTCCTATTCATTAATCCAGGGATTATGTCCCACAGATTCTGACTTACCAACGGAGTATGAAAGCTACAGTGTGTTGGAAGAGGTCAATGGTTCATACAGGTATTGGATCTGTAGAAAGCTATTTCAGTGACTTGTTTTAATGGAATTTCAGCTACATCTCAGCTTGTCAGCTTGATGTGGGATCTAAATGGCTTGCTGGATCAACACCTTGCAAAGACGTTCCAAACAGATGGAGGAAGAATGGACTCCCATGTGTTGTTTACAAGGAAGTGAGTTTAGGCAGGATTGAAAATTGGGAGATTGACAATAAATTCCATCATTGAGGTTCTCTGCAAACAGACTTCAAAGTCACATGTGTTTTCAATGAATTTTTCCATCACCCATACTATAAAAAACCCAATGACAGTACTATTAATATTTGATATGAACTTTCATTTTTGTTCTGCTAAAAGTAAAATTTCATGAAAACTGTGGGTGTGTGCCATGGTTCTGCTGGTCGTGGGGTGTTTATTGAGCAACACATTGATTGCTCTGCCCAGTGTTTGTGAGGAAATATTTGAACACCTTGTTCTTTGTTAGGCCTGTTTCACCATTTAATGAGAAGCAGGAGAAGACAGAAAACACTCAAATACATCAAATTTGTCTGGCTTTCTCTGCAAGTCACTTGAGATAGAGACATCATATTTCCCATAACTTTCCAACTGCACTAGTGTAGGCTTGCCTGATGTTTACTTTCCCACAACATGTGTCGTGCTTTTTGCATTTAAATAAATAAGTTCAGGAAGGTTGAAAAATATCCACTTTTGAAATGAATCTTTTGGTACATCAAAGAAAAAGAAGTTTCAGTCCTTTTAAGACACATTTGTAAAGTTAATCAATGGAGAGAAGTAAGCAAATATAGTAATTAAGATCAAATTATGTATTTATCCTCACTTTTCAATTATTTAGGATGAATTTGTTTTAAAAACTGTTAGTTTACACAAATAATGTAATAATAAATAATAAATAATAAATGATTGGCAAATGAAGCATTGAGGATAGTGTTTTTGACAAATGCAGGTAATTTGTTAGCTCAAACCTAATCTAGTATTACCTATTTCAAATTTGAATCTTCTATCATAAGCAGTTTTAAGGAAGGACATAATATAGCCCGAGTGCAATACTACAGCTCAATCCCTGGTGGCCTCAGATATCAGTATGGACAAGTGTATCGGTGGTTGATAGTGTGAGCACTCATCCAGATATCTGGTTTCAGATTACCAGATCTGCCAGAGATAATGACAAGGACGAGTTCTGGGAAGCTATTTCAATCCAGAATCCCAACAGGTGAAGTGGGGTTTAACTTCACCTTCATGATCAAACTCAGACCTATTATACTGCCACCATTGACAAGTCCTTGATTTATCATGGTAATGCCACCCGTGAAGATCCGGGTTAGAATTGGACATCAGTAACCCATGCTTGTTGTAAGAGGCAACTAACAGGATCGGGTGGTCAGGCTCACCAACTTGGTTGACACATGTCATTGTGTCCCAATTGCATAGATTGATGCTTATGATGTTGATCACTGGATTGTCTGGTCCAGACTCGATTATTTACAGACTGCTGCCATATAGCTGGAATACTGATAAGTGCAGCGTTTAACAAAAACCAACCAACCAACCACATTAATGCCAAGCCTGCAGCGGAGAAACAACAAGTACCATCTTTTGACATCTTTAAATATGACATGACCGGGTTGAAACAAGATTCCGGTATCTGGACAGATGCTCCATCCACTGGACCACGGAGATTGATAAAACAAGGATATAAACATAGAGCTAGACACCCCAGTAAGTGAACACTCAACTCACCCCTGAAGACAGTGTGATGTTGATATCAGTACAGGTTCCTGCATTCTGACAAAGTCCAGTTCCACAAGACTGGTTCACCTGAAAGAGGAACATATATTTGTCATACTCTGCATTATACATTTCTTCTTAGACAACCAGCAGCAACACAATTCAAACATGATTATGTATTGCATGAAGGTACTTCTGTTATGATATTCTGGATAAATAATGTCTGAAAAATACTGAGTCTGATGCAGGGTATCCAGAAACTGAAAGAATGTGCATTGTTAATCACAATCACCCGGCGTGACCATCCATCCAGTGTGTCTCTGATCCTCCTGTGTGTGTGATCGGGCATGTGTGCATGCGGGATTGTGTGGTGTGGTGTGGTGTGGTGTGGTGTGGTGTGGTGTGGTGTGTTTTGTTTGCTAATTTATGTGTTGTTGTTGTTGATATTGTTTTTGTTACACAACTAGCAAAATTCAACCCAACTATCAGTCACTCAAACCACCTAAAAGATGGTCTTTTGAATAAACTGACAAGTGAAGTAAGATATATGTCCACACTGGTATGCATTTTGAGACATTTTTCCAAAGGGAAAGAGAGAGTGTATTGGTATACAAGAGAAAGCAAGTCTAACCTAGCGCAAAGACAAAACAAAGTTTCATGACAAGGGCTAACCAATTCCCTTTTGTCAGCAACTAACTCACTACACTGAACAGGTAATCTATTTTCTATATGGCCAGACAGTCAGTTATTGTTTCCCTGTGTCTAGAAACTGTTTGCATTCTCTTGAAAACACCAACAAAATACATTCTACTTCCGCTCATGGTTCAAGCATCCCGAACAATGCATCATATATAACTGACAGTACCCACCCATCAAATGCATGCATATCATGCATAACTTAGTGGATATCAGACCACGTAGGTCAACCACATAACGTGCATAGCTGATTCTTCAAGGTTAAAGGTCATGTACAATAACGTTGTGCGATAACACCCCTTAAGAATTTAACATGCATTCCATTTACGTTAATGTCACGATAGATTGCATTTTATTCTTGTGAAAAGATAAATCACCCAAGTATGGTAGGAAATGGCTGCTTCGACAGCTCAATTAGGGCCAGATGTGTCCACCATAGAGCCCTCAACATGGGCGTTGGTGTTGTTAATTCCTGTGACATGAATACACTGTGAACGTGTCATGAATGTCATCCAACCCTTGTACTTCAAACAGACAGCCAGGACAGGTATATTCAGAGCAAGTATATACAGAACAGGTATATTTATAACAGATACATTCAGAACAGGTAAATTCAGGCAGGTATATTCAGAACAGGTAAATTCAGGCAGGTATATTCAGAACAGGTAAATTCAGGCAGGTATATTCAGAACAGGTAAATTCAGGCAGGTATATTCAGAACAGGTAAATTCAGGCAGGTATATTCAGAACAGGTAAATTCAGGCAGGTAAATTCAGAACAGGTAAATTCAGGCAGATATATTCAGAACAGGTAAATTCAGGCAGGTATATTCAGAACAGGTAAATTCAGGCAGGTATATTCAGAACAGGTAAATTCAGGTAAATTCAGAACAGGGTAATATTCAGGCAGGTAAATTAGGCAGGTATATTCAGAACAGGTAAATTCAGGCAGGTATATTCAGAACAGGTAAATTCAGGCAGGTATATTCAGAACAGGTAAATTCAGGCAGGTATATTCAGAACAGGTAAATTCAGGCAGGTATATTCAGAACAGGTAAATTCAGGCAGGATACATTCAGAACAGGTCAGGCAGGTATATTCAGAACAGGATAGGCATTCAGAACAGGTAAATTCAGGCAGGTAGGAACAGGGCATTCCAGAACAGGTAAATTCAGGCAGGTATATTCAGAACAGGTAAATTCAGGCAGGTATATTCAGAACAGGTAAATTCAGGGGAGGTATATTCAGAACAGGTAAATTCAGGCAGGTACATTCAGAACAGGTAAGTTCAAGACAGGTATATGCAGAACAGGTAAATTCAGGGGAGGTATATTCAGAACAGGTAAATACAGGCAGGCATATTCAGAACAGGTAAATTCAGGCAGGTATATTCAGAACAGGTAAATTCAAGGCAGGTATATTCAGAACAGGTAAATCAGGGCAGGTATATTCAGAACAGGTAAATCAGGGCAGGTATTTTCAGGACATTCTGATTTTTGTTGAACTGAGACACTGACAACTTTAATTCCTTCTCATGAGGACACTAAATGACCACTATTTAAAACCGTTTATCAAGTGTCACTGGTCACAGAAACATGGTTCTTCTTTATTATTCTTTCCAAATCTTGAAACGATTAACACCTGTTATATTTATCCACAGGTAAGAACAGCACAGAAATAGATGTGATGTGAAAGTATATCATTAAACCAGCTTTAAGTTGGATCGATTACACAACTTTGTACTTCCTTGTACAGCTACTACCACTGTTGATCGGGATTCACTTGCATGAACTCACTGTAGAACTGTGAATGCTGCAAGTCTGTGTTGAAGTGTTGGGCGTTACAACTGCCTTTGCACTAAGACCGAGTGTAGCAAAGCAACCTTTGGACCACTTACAAGAAGTGATTGTAGGGCTATAAGTATAGGAATTATGTGTAATAGTACTAATGTTATCAATAGTCTTCTAGTTTAGATTGTAAGTGAATTCAGGTAAAAATACATCAAGTGAAAATACATTAACATAATTGTGGCCTAGATTAATGCCAACGAATGTGTTCATACATCATGCCTGAAACACATGATATGATAAATGTTCCCATGTACGGCTCACTATCAAAGTCACCTCCATACCCTCTAACCTGACTCCCCACTTCTCCCTGTGAAACGCGAGATTGCTATCTTCCCTGGCTAAAAGTTCACTGTTCTAGGAAGTCAAAATATTAAGTTAAAAAACTATGACTTCTCTGTTGTATTCTTCGCTACACCTGAAGGCATGTACTGATCAGGTCACGCAAATAGTTTTCACTTTCCACAGAATCTATTGTTCAATATGCCAAGACGAATGTGTAAAAACAGATGATGTCTAAGGCGTGACAATTATCTTGAAATATTATCTTTCAAATATCAATACAAAATCAATTTGATCAAAGATAGTATATTGATTTTATCCTACTTTCTAACATATTTTTGCAAATTTAATGGCAGATCTGTTACAAGAAGACATATATCTGTCTTACCTACAAAGAAAATGGTCAACCATCATCGGTAAACTACTTGAGGTGCAACTATTTCAAACATTACATTATGCTTCCTACCTTTGTTATGTCTGGGAATAACACTATTTCTTTCAGAGAAACATTCGGTTTCAAACAATTACCTAAATAACCACAACAAATTAAACTTTGGAAAATCATTGTACAGTTCATACGGGTCTACTTTTATGAGTATGGGCACCATTCACAGATTTAAATGAGATCTGTGGCCTAACAGTCCATCACTCTAACTCGAGGTTCACAGGACACCATGGCCTCATCTGCCACAGAACCTTGTTGAAAACACCATCAACATTTCTACCTGAATTCTCCACATGTGAGTCACATGGCAAAACTCTAAATAGTTTCTCACATTGTTAACTTGTCTATATAAAGCATAATATTTCAAAGATATTAAGTTCTCTGACAATAGGAGGATTTTAATAAAACATATTCATAATATAATGTAAATATTACATATAAAACCTAAAAACTACATTTTACATCTACGTTTTAGAGAAGTCCTGGGTGCAATAACATTTGAATAATCATTTTTGCTGGCTTATCTCATGTGATGACTTAGATGAGCAAAGACATTCTTGAGGATCCCAGCTGATCCACGTTCTGTATCTTGTCATCTGTTTGTTTTGTTTGTATCTCAATCTAAACATGAATGTCAAAATCCTTTCAATATCTGGTTGTGGAATAGCCTAGAGATTAAAGCGTTCGCTCGTAACGCCAAAGACCCGTGTTCAATTCCCATCTTGGGCACAATGTGTGAAGTCCATTTCTGGTGGAATATTGCTATAGGTGGCGTAAAACCAAAGTCACTCGCTCACTTTCAATAACCACATGGAAACAGAGTACACTATTATTCCAAGATCTAGGAAAATCAGCATGAGTGACATGCTAACTTAAGATCACAGATCAACTCTTCCCCAAGACCTTTAAAATCAGACATTTTGACAAATTGTATTTGTATCTATAATGTAGTGTTTTAACACTGCAAATATGCGAAAAAGCAAAGCTTTCATTATTTAAATTTTGCATATCCCATGCGCCTGAAAGGATCATTATCATACCCTGTCCATTGAAGTTCGTACAGTTAGATCCTAATACAGCAATACTTATAAATACATGTCGACAGAGAATAGAATCAAAGATGCAGTCTTCCGTACACGAGTATTCTAATCAGTGGTGATGGCCTTTCCTCTCAGTGGCAGCTTACTGGTCTCAGCAAACATTCCAAAAGGGAACATCCTTCTAAAGGACATGAGAAAGTGTTTGGAATGTGATTACTGACTCCGAGTGGACAAAACAAATATCTATAGAACCAGCTTCTGTCCCACAAGGAAGTCCTATAAATACTCTCCCTAAATCTCATTACTTGTACAGAATATGTACATACACAGATAGAGGACAAAACAACTAGAGATAACAGTGCCATAGGAAATAGGTACTCCACACAGGACAAGGCAGGACAGTCGACATTATTGTTTAGGAAATTATCAAATTTTTAGAATTTGTTGAGAAAGTTTATCAGATGTTCTGAGGAAAATATTCTTGGGTTCATTCACTTGAATACTGAGTGCACTGAGGTGAAAACTGTACTTTAAGCATGACATCTAGTGTCGACAAAAAAGCAATACTTAAATTATCAAATTATCATTTATAAAAACGAACACACAAAATTCGCAAATAATGTGATTTTTAAACAAGGCCCACAAAACCCTGTATCTGTGACTCTCACTACAATATCTGTCGGAGCTAGTCAGGCATCCTCCCGAAGACAACCTGTTGACACACATTAGATAAGTCCCATCTGTCAACAAACTACAGACAATCCCTAGCCCTTGGGTAAAGGTCAGCTAGGGGGGAGGACGTCCCCTGGAGGACATTGGGGGGGACAGGGCACGAAGGATTAAGAGCAGGCAGAGTTAAACCAATGAACAGATGTACATTGTACTCCACTCCCTAGCTCATCAGTGGGTTAAATCTACACCAAGCTGCACTGTCCCGAATAATCTGTTTACCCTTGACAGTCACATGTTGTTGTTTGTACCCTAGATGCCTCATGATTGCTTTATCAACTTTGCACCCTTACAAGTTGTTGAGTCATGAAGTGACACGGAAAACATCAAAGATTCAAATCGTACCCAAATGTCTTCGCTTGGCTCAAAGGTCTTGCACACCTTGAGAGGAGCACCTAATACTTCCACCTCTAGTTTCTTACATGGGGAACACACTGAGGGCCAGCAAACTCATTGCCACTATACTGTTTGTATGTTCACACATTTCTGATAAATGATCTCTCAAAATTATAGTCTGTCTGATAAAATATAAAAATGTGTATATTTACACATTTCTGATGAATGATCTCTCAAACATTTTTATCTGTTTGATAACATATAACAATCATTTCAAGGCCCAGTAAAAACATAACTTTCTCTTCTACTTGCATCAAATCAACTGACATTTTTCATAAACTAATAACTTTTCATAAGTTAGTATGCTTGCATGCTAGAATGTGTTATACTGAAATAACAACTACATTTTGAAAAACTAGGTCAGTAGATCCTTAATCTAGCATATAATGAATTTAAAATCCATGTTCATTTCTAGACTAAAGCACTTTGTAAAGCAAACAAATGCACACATTTCCTAACATATTTTCCGTTTTTCTTTGCAATGAGCTAATCTGAAGGAACTACATGCCAGAAGTAAAGACGGAACAGAATAATCCATTGCCTTACAGATTACCCAACTCTCAGCAAGTCCTGTTGAAGGAAGTAATGTTGACGTAAACAGATATTATACGGTTGAGTGGAACACGATAGTGTCCGCCTTACATTCACTGCTTTGTCTATGGACAGATGACCTACATTTTCGCTATGAAATCAATCGCATAAGTTGATATATGTCTAGCTTGTAGCCCTGAAATCAACTTATGCTGACACGGGTTTTGTCATACCTCGATATATGTCTCGCCTGTAACCATGAAACCTTGGCTTACATGCATTCAAAATCACAGATAAAACATGCATTATTTAGTATAAACCTGCTAATAGTCAATGAAATCATCTGGATGGTGAGTGAGTGAGTGAGTATGGTTTTACGCCGCTTTTAGCAATATTCCAGCAATATCACGGCGGGGGACACCAGAAATGGGCTTCACACATTGTACCCATGTAGGGAATAGAACCCGGGTCTTCGGTGTGACAAGCGAACGCTTTAACCACTAGGCTACTCCAACGCCCCTCATCTGGATAAACTACTTTCCTGAGAATTAATCATGGTTATAGAGTGATGTGACTTTATTGACATGGAGACTCTGCCAGAAATAATCATTCAGAATAGGCGTGTCCTCATGAGTCAGCCCCAGCAACACTTCACTGTATATAGAATTTCTAATTTAATTCATATTTGAATTCATGTCTCAATTCATGATACAATCTCGCTCCTAAAATTGACCCTACTATAGGTGATATTTCTTATTATGGAAACATATTCTGAACGTTGGTTTCAGAGGTCCTTAATATGAATCATAAAGATATATTCAATTTATATAAACGATCACCAAAATCTTTCACACAGACATTCATTACATTGATGTCCTTGGATTCCAAACTGAAGAAGTAGAGAGTCTACACTCCCATACAATGTCCTCAATGACTTCTGATAACATGTTTTTAATCTCGATGGGTGCAGTAAAACTAACCCTTGTATTACATGTGAGGCATGAATACACAGTAAAACTCACAGTTGTATCGCATATATACTGGACAAAATAAGTTAGGGATATTGGTATTTCTATGATTGATATTATATCAACGTGCCAATGAATAAATAGATCATTATTCATAATTTCAAAATTTACATATATCCCTAACTACTTTTGTCCAGTATATACACTGTTAAACAGGTGAGGTATGAACACAGTAAAACTTACCCTTGTATCACAGGTAATCCCGGTGTAATCTTCAGTACAGTTACACACAAACCCTGCAGTAGCTTCCTGACAGGATCCATTGTTGCTACACACAGTACTGTTGCAGTAGTCCACATTCTGCTGACACCTGGATGGGACAGGTAAACACAGGTAGAGAAAACTCGTTAACACAACCACCAAAGTCAAAGGTAGGTTTAACCCTGAATCAGCCATATAGAGTCCTGGACGACTACTTCATCCTACACTGTGTTCAACTATGTCCGAGTCTAACGAGTTGTACAGGTAAAACTACAACATGGTGGGGTGTCATGAATGTGAGCTGGTTTCTGACACGAATGAAATACTGTCACTCCCGGACCCTCGTTCTTTGCCGACAGCTATATATAGTCACTAGGTTGTATCTGGCTCAGAGCGAGTCTCCCTCGCACAGGTAACAAGTCTCCTCTCACAGGTAACGAGTTGGTCGGTTAAAGTAGGCAGGTATTTGAACCAGGCAGGTAAATCATGCAGGAATATCCTCTCACTACAGACTTTATCAGGCTATATATCTGCCCACTCTATAAACAGCACTGTGAACCCAGGGGAAGGTGTATACAGCATTATAAACCATGTCTTTGCCGGCTAGTGGTCAGCTATGGTCTGTATCAAACATGTGACCGGTGATATCACCAGTATCAGATGTTTATCATAACCAGAGACCATGGCCTCTGTCATAACCTGTTATTCTTGAAATCCTAATAAATAGTCATGTACTGCAACTTCTCCTAAGGACAATACCTCAACCATTTTCATCCTGAGTAAACACAATAGTATATACTTATCTATAATAACATTAATTACTTCTTTGTTTGTGAAAGTTAGAACTGAATACTGAAAGATTATTTCCAAATGACTATGGCAGCTCCAGCAAATGTATAAGTGACACTGTTAGAGACTATGATATGTATCACATGAATATTCATGATAGCATGGGTGTGTCAGATCAACAATGATGGATCAGGTGGCTGACCACCATTCTCAACAGTACACAGTTTCAAGAAACAGGACATAGCCACTGTGAAGTGAAATATTTCAGCATAAAAGAAAAGTCCCTTAGTCAACAATACAAGCAGTGGAGCGGAACAGGTCAGAGTGTGTGTGATTAACAGCCATGCAGAAACCACTTGCAGATAAGGGCCATACAACACTCTGTCTCAACACAACCTCCACTCTGCCTCAACACAACCTCCATTCTGTCCCAGCAAAACTCTATTCTATCTCAACACAACTCAAATTGACATGACACAAATTCTATTGTGTGTTCACTTCTGATATTTCATAAGACAAAAATTTAATTTCAAAATGTGGTTTTGAGACGAGCCCTTTCTGATCTCCTAGCAACAGTTGTTGGACTGACTGTGTTGTGTAATGCATTGATTGATCAGTCAGTGATGACCATAAAGCAGTGGGTCTGGACTTCTTTATAAGTCAGCTTCCTGAGCGTTGTGTGTATTGATATTCACCAACCTACAGGAGTGGTTATTGTGTGTTGACTCACCCATGTTTATTTATAAGCCTGAGTCTGTACACCTCAACATTTGAAAATATTGTTTACTTGCTTAAGTATTGTGGTGTGTCATTTTGACATTTCAGAATCTTTAATGATTTCCCAGTTGTTGTTCAAATTTTTAACAGACAACTGAAAAACATATCAAACAAGGTGATTTGGAATACAACCTGGAAAGACTTCCGCCCATATTCCCCCTTAAATTTCATTCTAGTCAAATCATATCACCTGAATATAATTCCTCATCTTATAAGGATGAGTTTTAACATGTTTCTTTAATTGTATCTGAACATACTGAAACACATATTCAACTTCTAAAAATACAAAATTTTCAATGAAATAGTCAGTTGTTTTTTCCATTTTGCCTTTCAAAGGCTCTTAGACTGTTAATAAATATCTGTGAGATTGCACGCAAACATGACAATGAATGTAGATTGTGTGCATGTGTAAAGGTCCTCTGCTTACATGCAAATAAATAAACTATTATTATATATATACAGAAATGTTATAATAGTTTTTCAGCAAATCCATTTTGTCTACAAAACAGTTAAACAGGTCATTAAAAACACATCCTTTGTATTTTTTAGCTCTTTTAAAAAATCTTTCGACAAATAGCCCTTTTTGGGTATGTCTAGTTTCAGAAAACCCTGGAGGTGATCCACAGACTGGGTCTCCTACATTGTACTCTAATCTGAGTGTGGTTGCTCTCAAACCCTCATGTCTGCCTTCAGCAAACAAATTCCAATGGCCATTGTAAATTCCACAAAATGTTGACATTTTGACTGAGGCATGATGGGAGGGCTGTGTGAGGCAGGTGCTAGCGACACCTTCCCCACCTGACGTTACACATTTCCAACCTAAAAACAGTCAAAAACAGCATTTTGAAAGTTTTATCCTGCATTTAACTCTTACTGTCCCTGACGATTAAATGGAAAAAAATTATAATGCAATCATTTACGATTATAAAATTTGAGTATTATATCATATTTAAACAAGTCCTGACAATATAAATATCAAACTAGGAATAAAGTTATGAAGAATTTGGGGAATCTTTTTTAAATTCAGAATATTTCCTGTCAGTTTTGTTTAGATGACCCTGAGCAATCTGTATCTGAAACATATTATGAATATGAATTATTCAGTTGGACAGACATGTCTGTGATCGATCATCCACAAACAGGAAGTAGGAGAGCCAGCCGACAACACATGGTGGATATATCTCATGGGGATGTTGTCAACAACAATCTACTTTGTGGGGTACGATGACATGCAACCAATAATGTCACCGAGTCTCGTCAACCCATCAATTTAACTCTAAGCCAGATTCCCCATGGAGTTATGGGTGCTATACAAGTTAATGTAAAACACTACACAGACACACTTGCAACAAGAAAAAGAATTAACGTGAAAATGAGTCAAAACTTTTTTCTCTTCAAATCTAAAGGAATGATCCAGGAACTTTTAACAACTCAAATATATTGTCCTCATGCAGAAATGTGGTCAAGTATTTTTTTAGTCGATGCTAAAATTATAAAATTACAAGCATCTTTTTAAACCTACCACAAAACATTTCCACAAACAAATTCAGCCATTGGGTGTTGCTGAGTCAAGGTATGGCAAGATGAAAAGGTGTGTTCATAACTTTATGACTGGCTATCAATCACTGATTGGATGCGACCTTGCAAGTGACAACCTTTATTGATAGTCATAAGCTATATACCCTGCAGTCTGACCGCTGGACAGGAGGTATACAGGACAGTGAATTCTTTCCATAGAGGTTTTACCTATCGTCAAAGTGTTTTAAAGTGATAACTGCATTAAAATCCTGCTGTCTAATTCAGACTTTTTAGTCAGTCCCAAGCCGGTCCGACTTAGACAGAGTGCACTGTATTTTGATACTGACATTAATAACTAAGGAAAAATGTAACAATAAACATACATACAAAAATGCACAAGAACCAAATTTTTAACAGTTTTTCAGTCCCATTACGCTACAGATAAGGTGCTGGGCCCCATTACACATAACGATCGTAGCACTAAGGTGATCGTAACTACCATACTTTAACATCAACTTGCGACAGTCGTGGCGTTAAGGTGATCGTAACTACCATTCTTTAACATAGACTTGCAACAGTCGTAGCGTTAAGGTGATCGTAACTACCATTCTTTAACATAGACTTGCGACAGTCGTAGCGTTAAGGTGATCGTAACTACCATACTTTAACATAGACTTGCGACAGTCGTAGCACTAAGGTGATCATAACCACCATACTTTAACATAGACTTGCGACAGTCGTTGCACTAAGGTGATCGTAACTACCATACTTTAACATAGACTTACGACAGTCGTAGCACCAAGGTGATCATAACCACCATACTTTAACATAGACTTGCGACAGTCGTAGCGTTAAGGTGATCATAACTACCATACTTTAACATAGACTTGCGACAGTCGTAGCACTAAGGTGATCATAACCACCATACTTAAACATAGACTTGCGACAGTCGTAGCGTTAAGGTGATCATAACCACCATACTTTAACATAGACTTGCGACAGTTGTAGCATAAGGTGATCATAACCACCATACTTTAACATAGACTTGCGACAGTCGTAGCGCTACGATCGCTTTGTGAACCGGGCCCCAGGTCTTAGATGTTTAGCACTGCAGTGAAACCTACAACCGGGCTCTGGCTCTGAGAAACCAGACATATTGTTAGGGTGAACTGAGATTTGAACAATGATTCTACGTTTTCATTACGTGTAATGGGATGCCTCTGTGCCAGAGACCAGTATTACTGGTTAACACAATGTAACATGGAAGATTTGTACCCAGAAACAGAAACATTCCACTTTTGTTGCTCACAGTCTTTTGTAGACTTTCATACAAATCAAGTATTCCATTTCCATTTACGAAAGACTCGTGAAGATCTGGGTTAGAATTGATCTTCAGTTATCCAGTGCTGTTAGAGGCAACTAAAGGGATCGAGTGGTCAGGCTCGCTGATTTGGTCGACATATGTCATCGTATCCCAGTTGTGTAGATTGATGCTCATGCTGTTGATCACTGGATTGTCTGGTCCAGACTCGATTATTTACAGATCACCACCATATAGCCGGAATATTGCTGAGTGCAGCGTAAAACGAAACTCAAATCTGACAAATGATCCCCAAGAGAGATTAAAAATCGAGAGTGTTTTGAATGTTATACATTAGAAGTAAACACTGCAGTATGTTGAGCATATATAATGAGGGTTTAGGATTTATTTCTTCTCTTATAAGCAACTTAAGAAACGGCATATAAAGGCTTAACGAAGTGCACTATTTGTGACGTAGGGCCAAATGTTCTGCAGCCATGGCTGTCTTACATTGAATAATGTGTAACAGTTTGTGAGACGTAACTTCACATCTATATACCAACTAGGAAACCACTGTCTCATGATGCTGATGAACAATATGTAACAGTTTGTGAGACAAATAACTTCATTACCTCGATTATAAGTAGTCTTTTTTGTGTAAAAATACTTCACGCAATATATTGCAATACATATCATAATACATGCTTTCACACATCTATGTACCAACCCTACAAAAAGTAGTTCTTCTGTGATCTCATTTTCATATTTATCAGCTTGTGATACCAAGGTTATAGGATTGGTTTATTGCATCAATAACACTAAACAATGTAAGATATATATGTTTACCACCCTCATTTTCCAGAGTCAACAATGTGGCTTAATAATACTGTAGTCAATATACAACAACCATATGTTGCCAGCATGGATTACAATATTACAATAAAGGAACCACTGACAGAAATCACTCAAAGTCAACTAGTAATTTCTTAAATCTTCACTAGTACAATGCCACAAAGTTAATTTCCCCAAATAGCTGTTTCTAAAGCACTTCAAGCCAATGCATCACAATGAGGCCTAAAAATAATGTTGTGGTTCCGATTACCCAACCTACCCTTGAATTCTGGTGCCAACCCTATTTTTTTAAGCTTTCAGATACCTATGTTTTTTTCCCAGCATAGACGGACATCAGTGATAGGAATCTCAATCTGAAACTTCACTGAATAAACAAAGTTCTACTCATATTAGTTCGTACTTTAGGTCTAAAGAAATTGCAAAAAGAAACACAAAAATCCTACCTATCTACCCTAAATTTGAAAGAAGTGTAATCAGAACAACATTATTTTTTGTCAGCGTGATGAACAAGACACATGGGCACGTGACAAAACAGCTAACACATTTTAGAATACAGAATACATGCTTTTATCGCGCTGATGCAGAAATCTTGCATATTTCATGCAATCTGTGTTAAAAGTACTCAGGTTAATTTTACTGTTGGGCTGACGGAACGGCAAGTAAACCAATTCTCATGGTATTTTCAAAAATGACCCCATAAAATGCATGACTCCCTTGTCCAAGCTGGTCCCTGATGTACCACATATTCCTTAAGAAAAGTGCATTGGGATTGCCTTGTTCTTAAAGCATTTCACTCATCTAACCAAAGGCTCAGGCTGGATTTCCTTTATTGGTACATTGTGTAAAGCCTATTTCTGGTGTTTCCTGCCACGACATTGCTGGAATATTGCTAAAACTGGCATATACCTCACTTCAGAAAAGCCGCCATATAGCTGGAATATTGCTGAGTGCGGCGTAAAACTAAACTCACTCACTCAGAAGACATTTGTGACCTCCCTCTAAGGCTTTCTAAGCAACACCGTGACCAAAATAGAAAAGTTGACATCATGGGAACGTAACAAAAATCAGTTTGTGAATGAAAACTGTGAATATTTTGTAACTTCATAAATAAGCTTGGCAGGAAAAGTATCTTAATATTATGGCAAAAGAAATACATTCTGTCATGAAGACTCACCTATCCCCACTGTAACCTGTGCGACACTTGCAGCTGATGCTGTCCACGCCATCAACACACAAGCCACCATTCTGACACGACGTTGACATGCAGTCGTTGATGTTCACTTCACACCACTGCCCAGTAAAACCAGGGCGACAGTTACAGGTTGGCTTGCCATTCCAGCCAAGTTCACAAGTGGCACCATTGTTACCACTGATACGTGTAACATGATTCTTATGACAACCGCCCCGTAGGTGTGCAATCCTCAATGCTACAAACTTCTCAGTTCTCATATTGTTGTTGAGAAATGTGGCATCAAAGTAAAATGGTAGCAAAAGTCCTCCAATTCGAACTTCTTCAAGACAACCTTTATATGGCTGTTCCCATAATTGGTTCGGTCCAGTGGCACCAATGTAAATCTTTGCCCCATTCTGTATCAAGTTGGTAAGGTTTGTTACGGTATTATCAACAGTAACATGAGCCTCTTTCAAAATGGTACTATTGAGTAGCACCTGAAGGTTAATGGTATTGGCATTTGTTGTCATCTTGATGTAATACTGCTGTCCATCATTGACCAACTGGTGGACATTAAGCACGCTTGAAATCTCATCCTTTAGCTTATAGTTTAACTGTACAGCTCCCCCAGCGACACGCAGCTTCATGAAGTGGCCACCATGTTGGATGTGAAGAAGAACTCCGTACAGCACTCCTGTTCTGAGCTTGAGGCTGAGAGAATTCATTTCCTTGTCCGAGTTCAAGATGGCTGTGTACGAAGCTACGCTGGAGTGACCGTTAAAGGTGGAACTGCTGATACCTTGAAAATCAAACAGAACATGGTCAGCGACATTATTATTGACCTTACACATGAAACCATTATAAATCATGCTCCAACACTTCTGTGTTGTAATTCTTTTATTTTTAATGTTTTGGGTTTTTTTTCAAAATTTGGAAAAGTTTGTATATTTATCTCCCATAATATCAATCAACCTTCAAATTGTATTCATGTTTCAGTCCTATAGGTAACAATGTTCCAACATAGTCTAAGTTCTAATTAAAACAATGCAAAATATTCGCATTTGACTTACATTCGTAGCCACTGTGGAGACTATTACAGGTGGCGCCTTCTGAACAAGTAGCGTTGCGACAGAAGTCCAGTTCTCCGCAATCTTTCCCCCGGTAGCCGTATGGACAGTCACAGCTGCAGGAGGAAATCATAACATTCAGACCGAAAATTATTTTTTTGGTGTTTTATATAACAGGTTAATGGCCAATATATATCCACCAGAAAAATAAAAAAATAAAGATGCTGTAATGACGAGAAAATATACATAATCTAAATGGCCAAAGTAACCTTGGCAGAGTGTGGGTTGCAGAAGGTAAGAGACGATATGTTTGTTTGTTTCCGGTTTTACACGGCACCCATCAATATTTCACTTATGTGACAACAGTCTGGAAATATTCTAGTTTGGACAGTAAATCTAGTGATTGATATCATAAGCATACAATATCAACCATCATCCAAGTCAGAAGATCTGATTTTGCTGGGTTCCAGAAGACCATTCATCAGGCTGTAACTTTCTGACACTTGGAGCCCGACTTTGATCAGTGTCCATTTTCAACATTTGAGAACATTACTGAACTGACTTGAAACACGCTCCTTTCTTTCATTTCATATCCAAATCAAAATTTGACCAGACAAATGTAATTCACCAAAACGTAAACAGATAGAAGAACAACCAACTTGAAGTCATTATAGAAACTGTTGTGGCAGGTCCCATTCTGCTTGCATGGCGCCGCATCACAGGCTGATTCTGTGGAGACTTCGCCCTCGGTGAGGTTTGAGGATGAGGACATCTCCAGGCTGGCACCTGTTGTCTCATTGACAGGGAAAAACTCCAGCTTAACCCCATTAACCTCTACGTCCTGAATAACCCCTTGAAAGTAAGCACTCGAACCATCAACTGCTCGTCTTCGCCTTCCAGTATTGGCAGCAGCTGGTACCTTTCCACCGAAATAGGTTATATCAGGCTGAAACGGGCAGCTGGATCCGGTCACTTGTGTATCTGTGAATGGCAAAAAGATCTGGAAATCCCTGATTGACTGATAAGCTTAAGTCACTACTGGTCTTCTTGATCTGAACAAAATGTCTCTGGCCATCATTGTAAGAGATGGATGAGTTGAGCATGTGTTGAGAGCTGCAGAGCATGAACGTCGCAGTCAGCTTCCCGTTTGTCATCTCCAGGGTGATGTAGGATGAAGGGCTGGAGTTGCCGAGGTACATGATGACGCCGTCAGTCTGACGGGTTCGCACAAACAGGGATAAGTTGATTGTGTTGTTCAGACGGGAGCCAAGACTTCCCAGACTGAAGCTGGCCCAGCTCAACACATTGTCTTTAGAAAAGGTCACAGGTATGTATTCTGAAACAGGAGTAAGTGAGGGAGTCAATATACTTCTTTTACCAATATTATCAAGGCAGAAATGGGCATCACATATCATACCCTTGTAGGGAATTGGTTGGTTGGTTTTGTCGTTTAACGCAGCACTCAGCAATATTCCAGCTATATGAAGGTGTCTGGACCAGACAATCCAGTGATCAACTACTGATGTTCAGAATCAAACATAGTGTTCAGCATTATAAGAAAACACTTCAGCCACTTGGCTAATCCAGTATCCATTGATTAACGTAACATTATTACTGAGTGTAGTTTTACACCACACACAAACAAAACCTACCTGTCTGACAAGTCTCTCCCAAGTTGGGTCGATGGCAGTTGCATTTGAATGTGTTCCACAAGTCATCACAATCTCCATTGCGATTACATGTGTATGGAAGGCACTGTTCGGTCCTCGGACATCCATTCAGGATACGATGAAATGAAGCTATATGACTGTTGGACGGAATGACATAATTTCCATTGTATTTGATATCCTCCATACAACCAGTGAATGCAGTTTTTGACAGTGTTGAATTCATCACAGACTGGACGGCATTGCCAATGTACAACTTGTTAACATCTGAGCCTAGAGGGCGGGGAAATGAGAATGAAACTGTGCATGCTTCCTGGGAATTGCATAGGGAACTCTCTAGTTTCACTGTGACGTTCTGTTTAATTATCATTGTGACTGTATGCATCTCAGCATCATTGACATTACTCCTTGTCGTGGCAGAATGGCTGGACAGAGGTTTGTGGGAATTTCCGAAAACCGCAAATAACTTTTCATTGTGGATCTCCAAACTGATATAGTCACCGCTACCTGGCTTATACACAACCAACACAGCCGATTTCAGAGTGGTTCGGAATCGCATGTGTAGCGTAAAGTTTGTAACATATGATTTGTTAATCTGAGCCCCATTGGCGAAGCTGACAGTTGTCGACACGTCACAGTGACGTCCGGTGAAGCCAGTTGCGCAGCGGCAGGTGTAGCCATGTTGGTTGGCCTCGTTAAGTGTCGGTACACACGTCGCCCCATTCTGGCACATGGTATTGCCATTACATCCTGTCAACACGATGGTGCAGTTTTCCCCACCGTATGTCGTTTGACCTAGTTGGAAGGCTGGACACTGACATTCGTAGGCGTTAATTCTGTCTGTACAAGTTGCCCCATTTTGACAGGCTCGGTACCGGGTGCACTCGTTAATCTCAGTGTCACACAACTGTCCTTCATAGCCAGGTGCGCATTTGCATTTAATGGCGTTAATCTGGTCTTCACAAGTTGCACCATTTTCTCACGGGTGGTTCACACAGTCGTTGATGTTCACTTCACAATCTCGGCCTGTAACGGAAAAGTGATATCTGTGTATATAACTCATGATCATTTAAGAGTTTTCATTCAAGTATCAACTGAAATGTTGACAAAATTCACTGAAGTTCACAATAAAAAGATTATATGTAGCATGTGGCTCAAGAATGTAAGCTGGGATTCATTCACTGTAGATACCAGATGACCCATTCAGTCACTGGGAGTTTTTGTATCTAATATTTAAAATATTAAATCTATAATAAATCATACACTGCAGAATGCATGGGTATCACCTGAAGGATCACGTGCTATACCTGTACTGAAGGATGCATGCTATCACCTGTACTGAAGGATGGATGCATGTTATCACCTGTACTGAAGGATGCATGTTATTACCTGTACTGAAGGATACATGTTATTACCTGTACTGAAGGATACATGTTATTACCTGTACTGAAGGATGCATGTTATTACCTGTTCTGAAGGATACATGTTATTACCTGTACTGAAGGATACATGTTATTACCTGTTATTCCAGGGATGCATTCACAGATATAGCCAGCAGCCGTAGCATATGAAAAGTTGATCAACTCCGTGTGATTGCCATAAAGTGATTGTTGAGAACGCTGGATACATGTGCCGTTGTACTGGCAAGGAATGGACAGACACTCATTGATGTCTGTTTGGCAGCTGCTCCCTGTATACCCAGCATAGCATGCACAGTCATAGCCCTGCCGACCAGAGATAGACACAATGTAATTTGCTATATATGAATATAGGGTTGTATGAGTTGGGGCAGGCATTCAGGGGAGATAATCTACATTTTCATGTTATTATCAAACCTGTTACTTGTGATGAAAATTTATTCACTGGTCATAATTGGATGGAAGAAAAATACAAGTACAAAACATTTTAGACTTCTTAAAAATATAATCAAAAGATGTTTCCCATGCGCACAGTGTTAAAAGTATTTGTGTCATTGTCACCTATTCTACCTGCCTCATTCTACTTCCCTACTATGCAGTACTGCAGTACACTTTCAGGAAAATATGTCAATAACACTGATCAGAATTGTTTTCCATTTTCCATCATGCAAGAGTACCTTACCTTAATTCCATCTACACATGTGCCACCGTTCTCACAGGGTGAACCAATGCAGTCATTAATGTTGTTGTCACAGTTGGTTCCGTTAAAGCCGGTGTTAGTGCAGTCGCACTCATACCTGCAGATGACATGACACACACGATTATTATAGTCATCAGTAGTTACACATAGACCAAACATGTCACTACTACATGTGAATACTGTGTAACACTAGGGGAAAAAAAGACCAGAATCCACAAATATTTAAAGTGAATATTCTAAAACACAGAACAATGTCCTACCAAAACGATAATTGTAAAATGGCATTTGTGAGTGTGTTCTGAATCCTGAACTGAAAAAGTCTTTACAAATTAAAATCACTAGACACAAGATAAACTTTGTTTGAAGTCAGTCATGAACTTATTATAAAGTAAATACATTGTAGTCCTTATTCTCCAACAGTTTTGAAGTGCAAACAATGAATTTTTCAAACAGGGTGTGGTGAAGTTTAGTGACATCAAGGTGAAGGTCGTTTATTTAAATGGTCTTGCAATCAGGCATGCCCAGGATATTCTCATTTCTTTTCTAGGATTCTAATTCAGTTTCAGTGGTGGCACATTGAAACAGTTTCTACATGGTCTAAACACTAAGCCCTCATTACTCTGTAAGTCTTCTGCAACCACGTCCAGCAGTAGTGATCTGGGTGTACAACACAGGCAAAAAGACAAAATGCAACTAAATCACAAATTCAAAACCACAAACGTGCAAAAACACAAGACTCAAACAGATTTAATGCATGCAAATGAAACTGAGATTCATGCATGTACATGCATACACCGGTGTCCACCATACCCACGACTACGTGTTTTATTGCACGATGATGAGTTACATTCCTGGCTGGAATTGTCCCCATCCGTTCTGTAGAGGATTCATAAAGCACTTGTCAGAACAATAGTCATCCTTTTCATATGGTAGGCAGCACATTAGTCCGTACAAGTTATCAAGGAACAATAGTCTGTATCAGTCGTCACTGAACAATGGTCTGTACAAGCCATCATGGAACAATAGTCTGTATCAGTCGTCACTGAACAATGGTCTGTACAAGCCATCATGGAACAATAGTCTGTATCAGTCGTCACTGAACAATGGTCTGTACAAGCCATCATGGAACAATAGTCTGTATCAGTCGTCACTGAACAATGGTCTGTACAAGCCATCATGGAACAATAGTCTGTATCAGTCGTCACTGAACAATGGTCTGTACAAGTCATGGAACAATAGTCTGTACAAGCCATCATGGAACAATAGTCTGTACAAGTTATCAAGGAACAATAGTCTGTATCAGTTGTCACTGAACAATGGTCTGTACAAGCCGTCACGGAACAATAGTCTGTACAAGCCGTCACGGAACAATATTCTGTACAAGCCGTCACGGAACAATAGTCTGTACAAGCCGTCACGGAACAATATTCTGTACAAGCCGTCACGGAACAATAGTTTGTACAAGCCGTCATGGAACAATATTCTGTACAAGTAATCAGCAGAACACAACAGCCTCTCCAAATCACCTTCAGCACAATAGTCATAAATGTAATCAAAAGCCACATCTGAACAAGTAAGTACCACAATGGTCTGTACAAGTCATCAGCAGAACAACTAGACTGCACAGGTTAGAAGTACCACAATGGTCTGTACATGTCATCAGCAGGACAATATACTGTACAGGTTAGAAGTACCACAATAAGGTGTACATGTCATCAGCAGGACAATAAACTGTACAGGTTAGAAGTACCACAATAAGGTGTACATGTCATCAGCAGGACAATAGGCTGCACAGGTTAGAAGTACCACAATAAGCTGTACACGTTATCAGCAGGACAATAGACTGTACAGGTTAGAAGTACCACAATAAGCTGTACACGTCATCAGCAGGACAATAAACTGTACAGGTTAGAAGTACCACAATAAGGTGTACATGTCATCAGCAGGACAATAGACTGTACAGGTTAGAAGTACCACAATAAACTGTACATGTCATCAGCAGGACAATAGACTGTACAGGTTAGAAGTACCACAATAAGGTGTACATGTCATCAGCAGGACAATAAACTGTACAGGTTAGAAGTACCACAATAAGGTGTACATGTCATCAGCAGGACAATAGACTGTACAGGTTAGAAGTACCACAATAAGGTGTACATGTCATCAGCAGGACAATAGACTGTACAGGTTAGAAGTACCACAATAAACTGTACATGTCATCAGCAGGACAATAGACTGTACAGGTTAGAAGTACCACAATAAGCTGTACACGTCATCAGCAGGACAAGAGACTGTACAGGTTAGAAGGAACACAATAAACTGTACACGACATCAGCAGGACAATAGACTGTACAGGTTAGAAGTACCACAATAAAACTGTACACGTCATCAGGACAATAGACTGTACAGGTTAGAAGTACCACAATGGTCTGTACAAGTCATCAGCAGGACAATAGACTGTACAGGTTAGAAGTACCACAATAAGCTGTACACGTCTTCAGCAGGACAATAAACTGTACAGGTTAGAAGTACCACAATAAACTGTACAAGTCATCAGCAGGACAATAGACTGTACAGGTTAGAAGTACCACAATAAGCTGTACATGTCATCAGCAGGACAATAGACTGTACAGGTTAGAAGTACCACAATAAGCTGTACACGTCATCAGCAGGACAATAGACTGTACAGGTTAGAAGTACCACAATAAACTGTGCACGTCATCAGCAGGACAATAGACTGTACAGGTTAGAAGTACCACAATAAGCTGTACACGTCATCAGCAGGACAAGAGACTGTACAGGTTAGAAGGAACACAATAAACTGTACACGACATCAGCAGGACAATAGACTGTACAGGTTAGAAGGAACACAATAAACTGTACACGACATCAGCAGGACAATAGACTGTACAGGTTAGAAGTACCACAATAAGCTGTACATGTCATCAGCAGGACAATAGACTGTACAGGTTAGAAGGAACACAATAAACTGTACACGACATCAGCAGGACAATAGACTGTACAGGTTAGAAGGAACACAATAGACTGTACAGGTCAGAAGGAACACAATAGACTGTACAGGTCAGAAGGAACACAGTAGTGTGAATAAACCAGCAGACTAGTCTGTCCTGTCCAGGATAACAGAATGTACAAATCTACCACAGAACAAATGTCCTTACACGTCATCAGCAGGACAATAGACTGTACAGGTCAGAAGGAACACAGTAGTGTGTATAAACCAGCAGACTAGTCTGTCCTGTCCAGGATAACAGAATGTACAAATCTACCACAGAACAAATGTCCTTACACGTCATCAGCAGGACAATAGACTGTACAGGTTAGAAGGAACACAGTAGTGTGTATAAACCAGCAGACTAGTCTGTCCTGTCCAGGATAACAGAACGTACAAATCTACCACAGAACATATGCCCTTACACGTCATCAGCAGGACAATAGACTGTACAGGTCAGAAGGAACACAGTAGTGTGTATAAACCAGCAGACTAGTCTGTCCTGTCCAGGATAACAGAACGTGCATTACAAATCTACCACAGAACAAATGTCCTTACACGTCATCAGCAGGACAATAGACTGTACAGGTTAGAAGGAACACAGTAGTGTGTATAAACCAGCAGACTAGTCTGTCCTGTCCAGGATAACAGAGCATTACAAATCTACCACAGAACAAATGTCCTTACCGTCATCAGCAGGACAATAGACTGTACAGGTCAGAAGGAACACAGTAGTGTGTATAAACCAGCAGACTAGTCTGTCCTGTCCAGGATAACAGAACGTACAAATCTACCACAGAACAAATGTCCTTACACGTCATCAGCAGGACAATAGACTGTACAGGTCAGAAGGAACACAGTAGTGTGTATAAACCAGCAGACTAGTCTGTCCTGTCCAGGATAACAGAATGTACAAATCTACCACAGAACAAATGTCCTTACACGTCATCAGCAGGACAATAGACTGTACAGGTTAGAAGGAACACAGTAGTGTGTATAAACCAGCAGACTAGTCTGTCCTGTCCAGGATAACAGAACGTACAAATCTACCACAGAACATATGCCCTTACACGTCATCAGCAGGACAATAGACTGTACAGGTCAGAAGGAACACAGTAGTGTGTATAAACCAGCAGACTAGTCTGTCCTGTCCAGGATAACAGAGCGTACAAATCTACCAAATCTACGTCACAGAGGACAAATGTCCTTACCGTCATCAGCAGGGACAATAGACTGTACAGGTTAGAAGGAACACAGTAGTGTGTATAAACCAGCAGACTAGTCTGTCCTGTCCAGGATAACAGAACGCATTAAAATCTACCACAGAACAAATGTCCTTACACGTCATCAGCAGGACAATAGACTGTACAGGTCAGAAGGAACACAGTAGTGTGTATAAACCAGCAGACTAGTCTGTCCTGTCCAGGATAACAGAACGTACAAATCTACCACAGAACAAATGTCCTTACACGTCATCAGCAGGACAATAGACTGTACAGGTCAGAAGGAACACAGTAGTGTGTATAAACCAGCAGACTAGTCTGTCCTGTCCAGGATAACAGAACGTACAAATCTACCACAGAACAAATGTCCTTACACGTCATCAGCAGCAGCCCCAGTATCTGTAGTAGTCACTAGCTGCACAATCCTCATCAGCAGAAATATGGTATGTACAAGTCCTCAGAAGCACAAATAGTACAATCAGCAGTACAATTCTTAGTACAAGTCATTAGAAGCACAATAACTCATCTGCCTGTACAAGTCAACAGAACATTAGTCTGTTCAAGTGATCTGAAGCACAGCAGTTCATACAAGGCAGCAGAACAACAGTCTGTATATGTCAAGAGCAGAATAATAGTTCATACAAGTCAGCAGCAGAACAATAGTTCATACAAGTCAGCAGTACAATAGTCTCTACAAGTCAGCAGCAGAATAATAGTTCATACAAGGCAGCAGAACAACAGTCTGTATAAGTCAACAGCAGAACAATAGTTCATACGAGTCAGCAGCACAATGGTCTGTACAAGTCAACAGCACACAAGTCTATACAAGCACTGAACAATAGTGTGTACAAGTCATCAGAAAAACAGTGTGTACATGTCAGCAGCACACGAGCCTGTGCAAGCCATCCGAACAATAGTGTGTACAAGTCATCAGAAAAACAGTCTGTACATGTCAGCAGCACACGAGTCTGTACAAGCCATCCGAACAATAGTGTGTACAAGTCATCAGAAAAACAGTCTGTACATGTCATCACAAGCACAATAGTTCATACAAGTCAGCAGCACAATAGTCTGTACAAGTCAGCAGCATAAGAGCCTATACATATCAGCAGCATAAGAGCCTATACATATCAGCAGCAGCACAATAGTCTGTACCAGTCAACATAAGCACATTGATCCATACAAGTCCTACATACACAGTTAGTAGTGACAGTTACCCAGTCAGCAATGTATCTCTATACTACAGTGGGTGTTGACATAATTAGTACACTCATCGCTACCTTCAGTGACCTCTCATTTACAAGACATGTTAAAAGAGTTTATGTGAATGGAGTCCTATACATTGTTAATTTAGCCATCTTTGGCTCCAAGTCGGTAAACTGGATTTTAAAACTTCTATATTTTGAAAAATGAATTGTCCACAAATGAGATGTCACTGTGTAGCTCCTGGACATACAGGTTCGCACACCCGGGAGAGCTAATGTAAAAAGTGAACCTCTTGACTGGGGTTGTTTCAAATCTAGATAAAAGTACACAATGTTGACAGCGTATTAGGACATAACATCACAGCCACACGAGCGTCAATACTTCATATTTAATCAGCAAATCTAAATCCTAATGTTATATGATGGACTGACTGACTGAGTTTGGTTTTACGCCGCTTTTAGCAATAATCCAGCAACATCATGGCGGGGGACACCACAAATGGGCTTCACACATTGTACCCATGTGGGGATTCGAACCCGGGTCTTCGGCGTGACGAGCCAACGCTTTAACCACTAGGCTACCCCACCGCCCCTTATATGATGGAAGAAAATACCACAGTCTCAATAAACCCATTCATCCAACACCCAAACCGCCCACCTATCCTTTCACTTCCATGGCCTTGTATTTGGTGGAAGCAAGCCATGAGTGTTACATGGCCCCAGCACAAAGCAACCCCAGCACTAAAATGTCCGTAGTACTGACATGACGAGTAACACATGCCAGCTGACGTCTGTTTACTAAACTTTCAAACGCAATAATTTAGAAGTTATTTTTACGCAGCATTTGCAATATTCCAGCAAGATGACTGACTGAGTTTAGTTTTACGCCGCTTTTAGCAATATTCCAGCAATATCACGGCGGGGGACACCAGAAATGGGCTTAACACATTGTGCCCATGTGGGGAATCGAACCCGGGTCTTCGGCCTGACGAGACAACGCTTTAACCACTAGGCTACCCCACCGCCCCCTCCAGCAAGATGAGAGCGGGGGACACTTGAAATGGGCCTCACACATTGTGCCATGGGGACTCGAACCGTGATGAGTCAGCATGACGAGTGAGCGCTTTAACCGCGAGGCTACTCCACCACCCCGATCAGAATCAGTAATCACAAAGTGAGACAGTCCTCTCATTGGTTTGTCTGCTTGTACTTACAGGAGGCTGGGAATATAGCTGAATTCAACATAGCACCAAAAATATAGTACACAATCGAAAACAGTCTACTCGTCAACACAGTATCTAAATTATAAAATACTAATGTGGAGGATATTTTCTCCCAGATCTCAGAACATACATCTCAGTAAGTCACACTAATGTGAACACTTGAAATCAACAAGCAGTGTATAATAATATAATAATAAACTAAATAAACAAAAGTTAAATACACACGTAACCAAATAATCACCATGGGATAGACCAAATAATAATGATACATATATAACCAATATACAACCATAGTTCCGGAAGATAATTACAGAACTGTCTGATATCTGGATTTTAGTGTATAATATGTGCCTACCTGTTGATCTGATCGTTGCAGATCCCATAGTTTAAACACGGGTTCCATGGCCAACATTCGTTAATGTTTGTTTCGCAGGTGTCGCCTGTGATGCCAGGAATGCAGGTGCAGTTGAAGCTGTTGATGCCGTCTTCACAGGTGCCATTGTACTGACAGGGGTTCGGGATGCACTCATTGATATTTGTCTCACAGCGATCACCTATAGTAACACAATAAATAGTAAACACATCTCCTTGGGAGAAATCAAGGGCTCCAGTAGCTCAAATAGCAATGGTATATAACTGTTATACCATCCTGATATCTGTCTGCCTGACTGACTGACTGAGTTTGGTTTTACGCCGCTCTTAGCAATATTCCAGCAACATCACGGTGGGGACACCAGAAATGGGCTTCACACATTGTACCCATGTAGGGATTCGAACCCGGGTCTTCGGCGTGACGAGCCTACGCTTTAACCACTAGGCTACCCCACCACCCCCTCATGTCTGTCAGTCAATTGTAAACAGTGTTCAATCATAATACAATTACATAAATTTACATACTCCCTATGGAGCTGAGAATGAAAATTAACAATACCCTACCGTTTGAGGTAAGAACAATGTATTATTTTCAATGCCATTCCATGTCCTATATGATTATCTCTATCAGTGGAGTCTATAGGACTGTTGTAAGACACTGATCACAGTCCTCACCTGTATATCCAGGTGCACAGAGACATGAGAAGCTCCTCTCCAAGTTGATACAGGTGCCCCCGTTCTTACACGGAGCTCCTCCCACCGTTTCCAGCAGACAGTAGCTGGAGACCCTCTCACAGTTGGTGCCTGAAATGTGTGTACTCAGATATATGTTCGAAGATTCAACTGTACAAAAGTTGTCTCCCTTGACCTGCTCTCCATGTTTTGCAGTAAGTGTAAAGATTAAGCGGAAACGTCTGCCTGGCTCATCTTGTTCACTTCACACCACCACTTCATATAACATGAAGATACAGGGTTTAAAAGCATGAAGGAAACAGATGCACTTTTAGCAAAATTATAGAAAGATCAGCCTGCATCTAGCCACTAGCTCCTGGTGTCAAAGACAAATAGTCTTACAAGAGTTATCTCCCCTATTCTAACACCTACACTTCTGACCACGACGTATAACACATCAACAACAGGGAACAACTATTCTCAATCTCCCAAAAACAAATCACACTGGGCTCAAAAAGCAAAACAGTCGTAAAATACAAACCGATCTCTGAAAATCAATAAGAACACAAGATATTCAAGAAGAGAACAAGCATATTCTTGCAAATTGTAAATTTCATCATTTTCTCTGATATGTTTTGTAGTGAAGAAGAAGATTTACCGTACATGGGTACAACGCAAAGACATGAATAGTTAATTTTGGAAGTTAAAAACTTCCAAGGTCAAGAGAGCGAAGCAATATTTCCTTTGCATGAACATTTTGGAAACGTGATGCTGATATAACACTGGGAACATATCAGAGGACAGGGTGACAAGCATTGATGTTCAACATGGTCAAGATCTGCAGTGTGGGTGATAAGGCGGGGTGGCCTATTGCATGAATACTGACCAGGTGTATCATTGACTGGCCAGGTGTATCATTGACTGGCCAGGTGTATCATTGATTGGCCAGGTGTATCATTGACTGACCAGGTGTATCATTGACTGACCAGGTGTATCACTGACTGGCCAGGTGTATCATTGACTGGCCAGGTTTATCACTGACTGGCCAGGTGTATCATTGACTGGCCAGGTGTATCATTGACTGGCCAGGTGTATCACTGACTGGCCAGGTTTATCACTGACTGGCCAGGTTTATCACTGACTGGCCAGGTGTATCATTGACTGGCCAGGTGTATCACTGACTGGCCAGGTGTATCATTGACTGACCAGGTGTATCATTGACTGGCCAGGTGTATCACTGACTGACCAGGTGTATCATTGACTTACCAATCCCATAGCTGTCTCCCCCAGCCGTTCCACAGAAACACTCGTAGCTCCCTGGGTTGTTCTGACAGAGACCTCGGTTGAGACACGCGGAAACAGTCTGATTACATTCATTGATGTCCTCGTCACAGTTTACACCTTGCCATCCTGTGTAGAACTCATGTACCCTGCCAGGTGTGTAGTCTGTAAGGTTAACGAGTTGTCGCAGACAGGTACAGGCATAATCCCCCACCAGGTTAGTGCACTCTCCATGAACACATGGGTTGGGAACACAATCATTGATTAGAGTAGAGCAATCACTTCCTGTAAAACCTGCGACGAAGGAAATATATAACAAATCAAATTAATGTTTTGTCAAGTGAATGAGTGAGAGAGTATGGTTTTACGCAGTGTTTAGTAATATTCCCATGTAATATTCCAGCGATATCATGGCTGTGGACAGTAGGAATGGTCCCCACAGAATGCACCCCAGCACAGAATCAAACCCTGGCCTTTGGGCATGATGACTGAACACTTTAACCACAAGGCTACCCCAACGCCCTATTAAGTGAGGGAGTTTTACTTTACTGGTAGAATCCTCATGTGGAATGACTAAAGAACTTTTTCTTCCCATCACCAGATCATTCCTTTAATTTCAAAACCATACTCATTTAATTTCATTCTCATGATAGTTAACATCAACTTATCAATGAACATGTATACAGGCTGTTTCCTTGTCAGTCTCCGAAACCCTAGAAAACTTCTTCAAAAATATATTCATACAGCTGGAACCAGTGTGCAAAATAGTTTCCAAATTTTGCTTGCCAGTCAGGGTAGCTATGCCTGAAAGTTACTAGCCCACAACGTAATTCACTAGCCGCAAATTTCAACACAGGTTTAATCATTTAGCTGCTAATGTGATAAACATTTTTGTCAGGCCATAATCTCTAATAAAGTGTATTATAACGTAACAAGTTGGGGAGAGTGATATATTTACAAATATTAAATTCACTAGCCAGTTGGGCCAGTGATTGTGGAGATTTACTGACCCGACTGGATTTTTACTAGCCACGGGTTAGCAGGCCAGTGGCTATTTCGCACACTGGCTGGAACATGGAATATTGGTGAGGGTGGATTTAAAATTGCCTCTTACAAGAAGCATGGGTTGGTGAAGACCAATTGTAACCTGGATCTTCACAGGTCCCCAAGTTTGTGAAAGCTGACCCCAGTTTGTTGACTGCACCCAATAATGAAGAGCCACCTACCCACAGGGCATCCGCAGGTGAAGTTGCCAACACCGTCAAAACACTGTTCAAATGGCTGACAGGAATCACTACGACAATCATTCACATTGTGTTCACAGTTGAAGCCACTGTAGCCTGGTAAACATGTACAGTTGAAATCCAGGTTTGGTGCTTGAGTGTTGCATGTCGCTCCATTCTGACAGGGAGACAGATCTGTGCAGGCGTTGTATGTGTCGTTACACAGTCTACCCATCCAATCCGTGGTACAGTTACATGTGAAGCTGTTGATGCCATCTTGACAACGACCTCCGTGTTGACATGGGTTCGGATTGCATTCGTTAATGTTCTGTGAGCAGTCAAAACCTGGAAATAAAGTTGAAACTGATCGTAGGAATTGCCTGTCACAAGTTAACAGCAGGGTGAGTGAGTGAGTGAGTTATTATTTAACGTCACATCGGCAATATTTCAGCCATATCGTGACGAGAACATATGTGACATTGAAATGGAACAGATGTATATTATAAAAACCTGTCGACTAAGGACAGTAAAACAACTAGAATATCACAATTACAACTAAAACTAGTGTGGAAAATTAAAACTAATAGCACTATTTGGACAATACATTATAAAAACTGGCTATAGATCGCCAACAACTGAAGGTAGATCACCAAACTAGGGACCATGGGGACTTACAGTACTTTTGCTACCTGCATGGCCCCTAGCTAGATTTATATCATCCCTTCAGCCGCTGGCGATTGAAGTCAAACTTAGCCTAAATTAAAATGACAAGAATACTACATTTAAAACAGCTGGTAAATTTAAATTTCCTTTGAATGTTTCATGACTTTAACAGCAGGGAAGGTAGTGTAATTATGACAGTTAATCTTGGTGAAACTGCCCCTTTGTATTGTTGTCAGATTCATGAACACTGTTGTCATGACTGTAACAATGTTGTCAGATTCATGAACACTGTTGTCAGGACCTTAAACACTATTGTCAGATTCCTGAACACTGTTGTCATGACCTAAACAATGTTGTCAGATTCATGGACACTGTTGTTGTGACCTTAATAATCTTGTCAGATTCATGAACACTGTTCTCATGACCTTAACAATGCTGTCAGATTCAAGAACACTGTTGTCTGGATCTTAAACAGTGTTATCAGATTCATAAACACTGTTGTCAGAATCATAGTTATTGCTACTTCCAGTTTGATCTGCACTTTTGTTGATTCATACTTCAACTCTACAGTTGGACAATTTCATGAATAGCTATTGTGTGCTGCAACAATGAATGAAAAGTGTTAAAGAGCTCCTACATGAAGTAGACATACATCTGTGTGTGGCATACCTGTGAAGCCGGCGGCAATGAATGAAGAGTGTTAAGGAGTTCCTACATGAAGTAGACATACATCTGTGTGTGACATACCTGTGAAGCCGGCAGCAACGAATGAAGAGTGTTAAGGAGTTCCTACATGAAGTAGACATACATCTGTGTGTGACATATCTGTGAAGCCGGCAGCAATGAATGAAGAGTGTTAAGGAGTTCCTACATGAAGTAGACATACATCTGTGTGTGGCATACCTGTGAAGCCGGCAGCAATGAATGAAGAGTGTTAAGGAGTTCCTACATGAAGTAGACATACATCTGTGTGTGACATACCTGTGAAGCCGGCAGCAACGAATGAAGAGTGTTAAGGAGTTCCTACATGAAGTAGACATACATCTGTGTGACATACCTGTGAAGCCGGCAGCAATGAATGAAGAGTGTTAAGGAGTTCCTACATGAAGTAGACATACATCTGTGTGTGGCATACCTGTGAAGCCGGCAATGAGATGAAGAGTGGCAATGAATGAAGAGTGTTAAGGAGATCCTACATGAAGTAGACATACATCTGTGTGTGACATACCTGTGAAGCCGGCAGCAACGAATGAAGAGTGTTAAGGAGTTCCTACATGAAGTAGACATACATCTGTGTGACATACCTGTGAAGCCGGCAGCAATGAATGAAGAGTGTTAAGGAGTTCCTACATGAAGTAGACATACATCTGTGTGTGGCATACCTGTGAAGCCGGCGGCAATGAATGAAGAGTGTTAAGGAGTTCCTACATGAAGTAGACATGCATCTGTGTGTGACATACCTGTGAAGCCGGCAGCAACGAATGAAGAGTGTTAAGGAGTTCCTACATGAAGTAGACATACATCTGTGTGTGACATACCTGTGAAGCCGGCGGCAATGAATGAAGAGTGTTAAGGAGTTCCTACATGAAGTAGACATGCATCTGTGTGTGACATACCTGTGAAGCCGGCAGCAATGAATGAAGAGTGTTAAGGAGTTCCTACATGAAGTAGACATACATCTGTGTGTGACATACCTGTGAAGCCGGCAGCAATGAATGAAGAGTGTTAAGGAGTTCCTACATGAAGTAGACATACATCTGTGTGTGGCATACCTGTGAAGCCGGCAGCAATGAATGAAGAGTGTTAAGGAGTTCCTACATGAAGTAGACATACATCTGTGTGTGACATACCTGTGAAGCCGGCAGCAACGAATGAAGAGTTTTAAGGAGTTCCTACATGAAGTAGACATGCATCTGTGTGTGACATACCTGTGAAGCCGGCAGCAACGAATGAAGAGTGTTAAGGAGCTCCTACATGAAGTAGACATGCATCTGTGTGTGACATACCTGTGAAGCCGGCAGCAACGAATGAAGAGTGTTAAGGAGTTCCTACATGAAGTAGACATACATCTGTGTGTGACATACCTGTGAAGCCGGCAGCAATGAATGAAGAGTGTTAAGGAGTTCCTACATGAAGTAGACATACATCTGTGTGTGGCATACCTGTGAAGCCGGCAGCAATGAATGAAGAGTGTTAAGGAGTTCCTACATGAAGTAGACATACATCTGTGTGTGTGACATACCTGTGAAGCCGGTGCATCTGTGCAATGAATGAAGAAGAGTGTTAAGGAGTTCCTACATGAAGTAGACATGCATCTGTGTGTGGCATACCTGTGAAGCCGGGCGGCAATGAATGAAGAGTGTTAAGGAGTTCCTACATGAAGTAGACATACATCTGTGTGTGGCATACCTGTGAAGCCGGCAGCAACTTGAATGAAGAGTGTTAAGGAGTTCCTACATGAAGTAGACATACATCTGTGTGTGACATATCTGTGAAGCCGGTGACGCAATGAATGAAGAGTGTTAAGGAGTTCCTACATGAAGTAGACATACATCTGTGTGTGACATACCTGTGAAGCCGGCGGCAATGAATGAAGAGTGTTAAGGAGATCCTACATGAAGTAGACATACATCTGTGTGTGACATACCTGTGAAGCCGGCAGCAACGAATGAAGAGTGTTAAGGAGATCCTACGTGAAGTAGACATGCATCTGTGTGTGACATACCTGTGAAGCCCGGCAAGCAATGAATGAAGAGTGTTAAGGAGTTCCTACATGAAGTAGACATGCATCTGTGTGTGACATACCTGTGAAGCGACAGTGGCAATGAATGAAGAGTGTTAAGGAGTTCCTACATGAAGTAGACATACATCTGTGTGTGACATACCTGTGAAGCCGGCAGCAATGAATGAAGAGTGTTAAGGAGTTCCTACATGAAGTAGACATGCATCTGTGTGTGACATACCTGTGAAGCCGGCAGCAATGAATGAAGAGTGTTAAGGAGTTCCTACATGAAGTAGACATGCATCTGTGTGTGACATACCTGTGAAGCCGGCAGCAATGAATGAAGAGTGTTAAGGAGTTCCTACATGAAGTAGACATACATCTGTGTGTGACATACCTGTGAAGCCGGCGGCAATGAATGAAGAGTGTTAAGGAGTTCCTACATGAAGTAGACATGCATCTGTGTGTGACATACCTGTGAAGCCGGCAGCAATGAATGAAGAGTGTTAAGGAGTTCCTACATGAAGTAGACATACATCTGTGTGTGACATACCTGTGAAGCCGGCAGCAACGAATGAAGAGTGTTAAGGAGTTCCTACATGAAGTAGACATACATCTGTGTGACATACCTGTGAAGCCGGCGGCAATGAATGAAGAGTGTTAAGGAGTTCCTACATGAAGTAGACATGCATCTGTGTGTGACATACCTGTGAAGCCAGCGGCACAGCTGCAGTTGTAGTAGTTGGTGTGGTTGTGGCAGGTGGCGCCATTCAGACAGGGATTGCTGTCGCACTCGTTGAAGTCCGTCTCACAGTATATGCCTGTCCAGCCCGGTGCACACTCACAGACATACCCGTTGATCTGAACAAAATATATACAATGTAGGGCATCGTTCTTACAATTAATACTGAACCCACTTGCACAAAGGTATCTTATACTTTACCCCAGTATAGTCATAGTGATGAGATTGCTTGTAATTACTTACCAACAGTTTATGAATCTAAATCTATTTGACTATGCACAGTTTATGTCAATGAAGCACACTATAAAGAATTCCTCTGGTTCATCTGATCCGACTCATCTGTGAATATTTCAAGTGTATATCCCTAGGCAAATCTGAAATTTGAACCAAAGAAAGCAGATCCGTGCACAACTACGGAACACAACTCTGCACAGACTATTGTTTGATACCAAGTTTGAGCCGACCTGCACGAAAGGTAATGAGGTGAGGTGAGGTGAGGTGAGGTGAAATTGGGTTTAACGTCATGCTTGAGAATCGAACCCGCGACCTTCTGCTCTCCGGGCGGACGCTCTAACCACTACACCACGGAGGTCTAAAGGCTACGAAGTCAACATACCGCATCTGAACATGTTGCTCCATTTCTACAGAGCATTGGTGTCTCCTGACATTCCTGTATGTTCTCACTGCAGTTGTCTCCCCTGTACCCATCCACGCAGTCACATCTGTAGGAGTTGACCTGATCTCTACACCTGTAATAAAACATGAACAACTCGTAAAGACAGCAAAACTATATCTAAAGTGTTTGACATCCTTCCATTGTACTACTCCTAACCTGTCTTCTGTATAATAAAAGTAAAATCACTGATAAACCAAACACTAATACTACAGGGTCTGTCATCATGCAACCAACCACTAATACTACAGGGTCTGTCATCATGCAACCAAACACTAATACTAAAGGGGTTTGTCATCATGCAACCCACCAAAAAAATACTACAGGGTCTGTCATCATGCAACCAAACACTAATACTACAGGGTCTGTCATCATGCAACCAACCGCTAATACAACAGGGTCTGTCATCATGCAACCAAACACTAATACAACAGGGTCTGTCATCATGCAACCCACCACCACATGCAACCCACCACTAATACTACAGGGTCTGTCATCAAGCTACCCAACACTAATACTACAGGGTCTGTCATCATGCATCCAACCACTAATACTACAGGGTCTGTCATCATGCAACCCACCACTAATACTACAGGGTCTGTCATCATGCAACCAAACACTAATACTACAGGGTTTGTCATCATGCAACCCACCACTAATACTACAGGGTCTGTCATCATGCAACCCAACACTAATACTACAGGGTCTGTCATCATGCAACCAAACACTAATACTACAGGGTTTGTCATCATGCAACCCACCACTAATACTACAGGGTCTGTCATCATGCAACCCAACACTAATACTACAGGGTCTGTCATCATGCAACCCACCACTAATACTACAGGGTCTGTCATCATGCAACCAAACACTAATACAACAGGGTCTGTCATCATGCAACCCACCACCACATGCAACCCACCACTAATACTACAGGGTCTGTCATCAAGCTACCCAACACTAATACTACAGGGTCTGTCATCATGCATCCAACCACTAATACTACAGGGTCTGTCATCATGCAACCCACCACTAATACTACAGGGTCTGTCATCATGCAACCAAACACTAATACTACAGGGTTTGTCATCATGCAACCCACCACTAATACTACAGGGTCTGTCATCATGCAACCCAACACTAATACTACAGGGTCTGTCATCATGCAACCAAACACTAATACTACAGGGTTTGTCATCATGCAACCCACCACTAATACTACAGGGTCTGTCATCATGCAACCCAACACTAATACTACAGGGTCTGTCATCATGCAACCCACCACTAATACTACAGGGTCTGTCATCATGCAACCAAACACTAATACTACAGGGTTTGTCATCATGCAACCCACCACTAATACTACAGGGTCTGCCATCATGCAACCCAACACTAATACTACAGGGTCTGTCATCATGCAACCCAACACTAATACTACAGGGTCTGTCATCATGCAACCAAACACTAATACTACAGGGTCTGTCATCATGCAACCAAACACTAATACTACAGGGTTTGTCATCATGCAACCCACCAAAAAAATACTACAGGGTCTGTCATCATGCAACCAAACACTAATACTACAAGGTCTGTCATCATGCAACCCACCACTAATACTACAGGGTCTGTCATCATGCAACCAAACACTAATACTACAGGGTCTGTCATCATGCAACCAAACACTAATACTACAGGGTTTGTCATCATGCAACCCACCAAAAAAATACTACAGGGTCTGTCATCATGCAACCAAACACTAATACTACAGGGTCTGTCATCATGCAACCAAACACTAATACAACAGGGTCTGTCATCATGCAACCCACCACCACATGCAACCCACCACTAATACTACAGGGTCTGTCATCAAGCTACCCAACACTAATACTACAGGGTCTGTCATCATGCATCCAACCACTAATACTACAGGGTCTGTCATCATGCAACCCACCACTAATACTACAGGGTCTGTCATCATGCAACCAAACACTAATACTACAGGGTTTGTCATCATGCAACCCACCACTAATACTACAGGGTCTGTCATCATGCAACCCAACACTAATACTACAGGGTCTGTCATCATGCAACCAAACACTAATACTACAGGGTCTGTCATCATGCAACCAACCATTAATACTACAGGGTCTGTCATCATGCAACCAAACACTAATACAACAGGGTCTGTCATCATGCAACCCACCACTAATACTACAGGGTCTGTCATCATGCAACCAAACACTAATACTACAGGGTCTGTCATCAAGCTACCCAACACTAATACTACAGGGTCTGTCATCAAGCAACCCACCACTAATACTACAGGGTCTGTCATCAAGCAACCAAACACTAATACTACAGGGTCTGTCATCAAGCAACCCAACACTAATACTACAGGGTCTGTCATCAAGCAACCCACCACTAATACTACAGGGTCTGTCATCATGCAACCCACCACCAATACTACTGGGTCTGTCATCAAGCAACCAAACACTAATACTACAGGGTCTGTCATCATGCAACCAACCACTAATACTACAGGGTCTGTCATCAAGCAACCCACCACTAATACTACAGGGTATGTCATCATGCAACCCACCACCAATACTACAGGGTCTGTCATCAAGCAACCAAACACTAATACTACAGGGTCTGTCATCATGCAACCAACCACTAATACTACAGGGTCTGTCATCAAGCAACCCACCACTAATACTACAGGGTCTGTCATCATGCAACCCACCACCAATACTACTGGGTCTGTCATCAAGCAACCCACCACTAATACTACAGGGTCTGTCATCATGCAACCAACCACTAATACTACTGGGTCTGTCATCAAGCAACCCACCACTAATACTACAGGGTATGTCATCATGCAACCCACCACCAATACTACTGGGTCTGTCATCAAGCAACCCACCACTAATACTACAGGGTCTGTCATCATGCAACCCACCACCAATACTACTGGGTCTGTCATCAAGCAACCCACCACCAATACTACAGGGTCTGTCATCATGCAACCAACCACTAATACTACAGGGTCTGTCATCAAGCAACCCACCACTAATACTACAGGGTCTGTCATCATGCAACCCACCACCAATACTACTGGGTCTGTCATCAAGCAACCCACCACCAATACTACAGGGTCTGTCATCATGCAACCCACCACTAATACTACAGGGTCTGTCATCAAGCAACCAAACACTAATACAACAGGGTCTGTCATCATGCAACCAACCACTAATACTACAGGGTCTGTCATCAAGCAACCAAACACTAATACAACAGGGTCTGTCATCATGCAACCAACCACTAATACTACAGGGTCTGTCATCAAGCAACCAACCACTAATACTACAGGGTCTGTCATCAAGCAACCCACCACTAATACTACAGGGTATGTCATCATGCAACCCACCACCAATACTACTGGGTCTGTCATCAAGCAACCAACCACTAATACTACAGGGTCTGTCATCAAGCAACCCACCACTAATACTACAGGGTATGTCATCATGCAACCCACCACCAATACTACTGGGTCTGTCATCAAGCAACCAACCACTAATACTACAGGGTCTGTCATCAAGCAACCCACCACCAATACTACTGGGTCTGTCATCATGCAACCCACCACCAATACTACAGGGTCTGTCATCATGCAACCAAACACTAATACTACAGGGTCTGTCATCATGCAACCCACCACCAATACTACTGGGTCTGTCATCATGCAACCCACCACCAATACTACTGGGTCTGTCATCAAGCAACCAAACACTAATACTACAGGGTCTGTCATCATGCAACCAACCACTAATACTACAGGGTCTGTCATCAAGCAACCCACCACCAATACTACTGGGTCTGTCATCATGCAACCCACCACCAATACTACAGGGTCTGTCATCATGCAACCAAACACTAATACTACAGGGTCTGTCATCATGCAACCCACCACCAATACTACTGGGTCTGTCATCATGCAACCCACCACCAATACTACTGGGTCTGTCATCAAGCAACCAAACACTAATACTACAGGGTCTGTCATCAAGCAACCAACCACTAATACTACAGGGTCTGTCATCAAGCAACCCACCACTAATACAACAGGGTCTGTCATCACGCAACCCACCACTAATACCACAGGGTCTGTCATCATGCAACCCACCACTAATACTACAGGGACAGAGCCTGTTATAACACCACCAGATCTGTCCAGGCATCAGTCACCAACCACCACTTCCACTGACCTTCAAGGACGTCACACGCCCACTGTGTATCATAAGGCAAACCTTACATGAACTAACATCTACACTTACGTTCCATTATTTTCACATGGGTTGTCTTGACAGTCGTTGATGTTTGTCTGACACTTGCTTCCAGTAAATCCAGGTGGACAGTTGCACTTGAAGGCGTTCTCAAGGTTGTCACAGGTGGCGTTGCCGTAGCATGGGTTACTAGCACACTCATCTATGTCCCGACACACGGGGGCCAGGCCTGCAAGAACACAGTGGTACATTGGCTGGATCAGAAGGGTGAATGATGTATGGATCAAAGGACTTGATGATGTGTAGGTCAAAAGACTGGATGTCGTGAAGGACAAAACAGACAAACAGTGACATGCTGGGTAGATGTTTTACTTGAGTTAGACCTATACTGACTGACTGACTGAGTATGGTTTTACGCCGTTTTTAGCAATATTCCAGCAATATCACAGAAATGTGCTTCACAAGTTGTACCCATGTGGGGAATCGAACCCGGGCCTTCCGCGTTAGACCTATACACTGACAAGACACTGCACATAACAAAGTCACTTAGAAAAGTGCTCTTCTATGTACAACTGCACGACATCCAAGGAAGTAATGAGTACAATAAAGCACCTATGCAGCTCCTGAACTCCAACAGGCAGCTGAGGATGGGCCACACAAGTTGTTTCACTACAGAAATCCTGAGCACACATCCTTAGATGAGTAGGGGGGGGTGGGATAGCATAGTGGTTAAAGCATTCGCTGGTCAGTACGAAAAACCCAGGTTCAATTCCCCACATGGGTACATTTCTGGTGTTCCCTGCCGTGATATTGCTGGAATATTGCTACAAGCAGCTTAAAACTAAACTCATTCACTCCTTACCCGAGTATCCATCCTTGCAAACACAAGTGTAGCTATTGACGCCATCCTGGCAGCGTGTGTTGCTGCCTCGGCATGTGACGTTGATGCAGTCATCGATGTCCACCCCACAGTCTGGTCCAGTGTAGCCCCTGGGACAGGTGCAGTGGTAAGTGTTGACACCACTCGTACAGTTCCCTCCGTGTTTACAGGGGATCGACAAGCACTCGTCCACATCCTCAGAAAAACAAACAAATGTATGTTACACTTCTACAACCCATGAAGATCCGGGTTAGAATTGGTCTTCAGTAAGCCATGCTTGTCGTAAGAGGTGACTTACAAGATCGGGTGGTCAGGCTTATTGAAATTTTACTCCTACTGTATTGCTGTCCAAATACTGAACAGTTGTGCCCATGCATTTGAATGTCATTTTAATATCATTCTATTAACATACGGAAACAATTTGTGGAAAGAATACTTCTATCTAGCATGTTTATCATGCACTTACACGACAAAGTTGGGGGAAGTATCATTTCTCACACACAAGTTCAGTACCTACCACCACACATCCTATGCCATCATAGCCCTGGGGGCAGACGCAGGTGAAGCTGCCGGGGTTGTTGACGCAGGTGCCGTTACCACAGACGCCGGGAGTCAAGTTGCATTCATTCACATCACTGGTGCAATTGTCCCCATCATAACCTATAACATTTCATTGAATAAGGAAAAGTCTATAAGGCTGCAAAAAATCACACATTATATCAATACGATACACATGGTAATAACAGTATGCCATACACACCATAATAACTATATGATATACATGATAATAACTGTGTACAATACACATGATAATTACAGTATACAATACACATGATAATAACTGTATACGAAGCATATAATAACTGCATACAATACATGTTATTAACTGTATACAATATACATGATAATAACAGCATACAATACACACAATAAAAGATCTATCAGAATGACCCCCCAAAAAATCCACCTCACTACCAAATCCCCAGTCACACCATCCCCAGTCACACCATCCCCAGAATAATGAATTAGCTGCAGGATGAGTCAACTCACCTGAACCTGTGCAGTTACACCTGTAGCCGTCGACCAGGTCAATACACTGACCATGCTGACATGGGTCTCGACGACATTCGTCGATCTCGGTTTCTCAATTTTTACCCGTAAAGCCTGCAAATGAAATATGTGAGAATGGCTATACTTGTGCCAACACATCATTACCAGGATTATCATAAATCCAAAACACTTTTTACAGATAACTGTTAATAAATCATGATTCTGTTATCTGAAACAAATTGGGGGAGGGGGGGAGAGAAGGAGAGAGAAGGGGAGAGGGGTAAATTGGGTTTAATGTCGTACTTGAGAATATTTCACTCATATGACAACATGCATGCACGCGTGTGTATGTGTGCGGCTGCTTGTACTAGCCCAGACTGAAGCTGGTTTTATAGTGCTAGCCCACTAAAATACCATGCCACAGTGAAGCATGGGTACCCACTCAGACACATTATACGACCAGTCCTTGTTGTACCCATTAATGCCGAGAGCCAGGCAGGGACCAACAAGTACCATATTTTAACGTCTTTTGGTATGAAGTGTTCGGGGATCGAACCCGCGACCTTCCACTCTCCGGGCGGACGCTCTAACCACTACACCACGGAGGCGGTCGGGGATCGAACCCGCGACCTTCCGCTCTCCGGGCGGACGCTCTAACCACTACACCACGGAGGCGGTCAATGGGGCTCAGGAGTAGCGTTGTGGTTCACAAATGGTTAAAGTGTTCACTTGCCATGCCAAACACCCAGGTTGGACTCCCACATGGGTACATTGTGTGAAGGCCATTTCTGGTGTACCCTGCTGTGATCTTGCTGCAAAATATAGCTAAAAGCAGCGTAAAGCCTTACTCACTCATTGTAATACATGCAAGGCCAAGGGCAGCTCATCACTTAGCAGCCACAAATCATTATAGGGTCGGGCACATGCCTTCACAATCCTGGAATATTGGTTAAAGCAGTGTTAAGCCCTCACTCACTCTGTCACAAATGCAAGGTGACCTTGACCTTTCACCTACCTGGTGTGCAGATACACCTGTACACTGTCCCTTGGTCAGGGTTTGCAACACAGGTAGCGTTGTTCAGGCACAGATTCACAACATGGCATCCAAGCTGAGCTGAAACATTGTTCAATAAAATAAGTTGCCTAGCAACAAGACATTAAAGAGTTATGCTAAAGTCATAATAACTGAACTGAGTACATATGTCTTTGTATTCTGATAATGCATGAGCACAAAAATCAGTTAATGATTCAAACAGTCACTATATGGCTGAAACAATGCAAATTAGACGTTAAATTTTAACTCATTTTAACTCAAAACCAATCTGTAACTAATGATAATTCCCAAGCTTGAACTGTGACTAATCATTAACAACACTTGAGAAACAAAACATAAACACATCAATTTGTCTATGTCAATAGTATTCAATTCATCTCATGAAATTTGAACCAGAAACTAAATTAGCTAAACTCACATCTGATCAAAGTTTGACAATTTAGTTCAATCATCTTTAATTGACATAAACAGATTATACAGCTTTCAATTATCTCAGTAGGGCCGTGTGTTTACGCTGTGTCACAAAACAAGCATTCATCCCCTATCCCATCCAAGATGGCCGCCGACAACACAATAAACCATGTGTTATAAAACCTGATATTTCTATTTAATCGAGGATATTCTAAATATTACATTCTTTGTAGGAATAGTAAATGACAAACATGGAAGCCTTCTGGAATGTCAAGCATACCACAAAGTTTCTGTTTTGCCATTAACACCATTGTGTGGGGTGGGTGTGTTTGTGGTACTATTTAAATAAAACATTGTTTAGTCCGCGGAACTCGACAGCACTGGGTACAAGGCTGCTAAACAGACCAGCCCTAAACTCGCAGCAGCTTCCGTGAGACAAAAAACAAGTTCACATTTCAATGCACACAACCTTCTTGAAGCATTCATAAGTAGGACTTGAATCTTAAACTGCATCAAACATCTCATACACGTTAGACAAACAACCAAGTCATGTCACTAAAAACCTGAATTTTAATGTCTTGAACAAAGTTCAGGATGTGTTGTCATGACAACCCTAATTATGCACAGGCTAGAAGCAATACAGTATTGTATCATGATACAAGATATGTTAATTTAAAAACTGGTACTGTTATACATATGATACGTTATTGCTGTACAAACAAGTGTGTACTACCAGAAACTGTTTAACATCCAGCTGACACATCTCCACTACTATTTCCCCGATGACTACTGACAGCATAACATTTCCATTGCCCTGTAATATAGATGTTTCTGGCCAACATATACATGCACTACCTTCCATACAAGGAAATTCAAAACAAATGATTCAGGGTTGTGGAAAATATCATCCAATGAAACATAACATACTTTATTGGGATACGAATCATATTGCACCCAGAGTATCGAGATATGTATCGTATCATGCACCCATGTTTCACCCTGAACCAAACAATACCTAATCTGACACTTAACACAGAATCTGGAAGGTGAGGTGAGGTGAAATTGGGTTTAACGTCGTACTTGAGAATATTTCGCTCATATGACGTCGTGCATGCGTGTGTATGTGTGTGTGCGGCTTCTTGTACTAGCCCAGACTGAAGCTGGTTTTATAGTGCTAGCCCACTGAGATACCATGCCGCAGTGAAGCATGAATACCCCACTCAGACACATTATACTGACTCCGAGCCGACCAGTCCTTGTTGTACCCATTAATGCTGAGAGCCAGGCAGGGGCCAACAAGTACCATATTTTAACGTCTTTTTGGTATGACACGGTCGGGGATCAAACCCGCGACCTTCCACTCTCCGGGCGGACGCTCTAACCACTACACCACGGAGGCGGTCACAGAATCTGGACGCTGATACATGGCAACAGGGTACAATCCCAGAGAAAAATGAATTATGACACCTCCATGATCATTATCCTGTCCCATCCTTGCATGCTGACAACTGTAAATATATAATATGTCCTTTCTGTCAAGATGCTAGGCACCAGTCCTACTTAGCCTGATACTCCATGATTATCTGGGGAGGAACCAGTCTTTATCAACACATTCCTGGCATAACGTGACCTGGTGGTCTGACGGGCTGACTTACTTAATGCCTACATACTTACTTAATGCCTACATACTTACTTAATGCCTACATACTTACTTAATGCCTACATACTTACTTAATGCCTACATACTTGCCTACATACTTACTTAATGCCTACATACTTACTTTATGCCTACATACTTACTTAATGCCTACATACTTACTTAATGCCTACATACTTACTTAATGCCAACAAGCCTACATACTAAATACTAACTGTAAGTACATACTATCTGTTTTTGATAGAGATCATTATCACGACTGTACCCACACAAGTTAGTTTATATGGAGTAATCTCTACGGTATAGATTATCTTGTAACTGTGTGTACACACTGACCCCTACGGCACACTGATGATCAGTCACACAAACACGATAATGACGGAAATATGTCGACCATAGATACTTTGCATTCCGATGTGAATCAAGTTGCGGGTCTAATGGTTATCGACATTTAACTGCCAGTTGTTGAGCACAATGAAAGACCATGTGAAAGCTCTTTCTTATTGATGGTACAGAATATAAGCTTGGGCACACAATGTTTGAGCATTGATTATAAACTGGCCTACCAAACTCAAACAGGGAACATTCACTTGTACTTGGTGATTCATTGAGGTTGGTCTTATTGATTTCTACCTTCACTAAACATAAAAATACCTTGCGTTAATGATTTGGTCATATATTACACTGGTGACATGTTCAGTCTGTGTAGATACATTTGTGATTACCAGAATAAACATGATAAAATATCAGAATCACATCGATGGAATATGTTCATGATTATAATATTGCATATTCAAGTATATTTACTGTTAATATAATCAATGCCAAAAATAGTTGGCAGTCTAGTTTTCATCACCTTTCTAACAATACAGACAACTTTATGGATAACAACTTCTTTAATAAGAATGTGTGATGTTTCTATACAGATTCTTGTACCATTGACAAGCAAGAATGTTAACATGAAGTGGAGGAAAAGTATATAACAAGGAAAGTGTTATAAAGTTATATTTTGTGTATATTTCCAACACATATTCAGTTTCTCCTACAAACTTGGGTGCTGTTGTATAAAACAACCCAACCCTTCCTAAGTCTGCGTTAAGGTATTTGACCTACAACCAACGTAGCACTAAGATAGCATTGTACAATGGTATACAGGGCGGTGGGGTAGCCTTGTGGTTAAAGCGTCATGCCGAAGGAGGAACAAGGTGTATAGCCCATTTCTGGTATACCTGTGTTGTTACTGGAATACTGCCCAAAGTGACATAAAACCAAACAAAAACATACGACTCCTACAGGCCTTGAAACATAGCCTACAAATCCCAAGTTTATCAACAATTCTTTCTCAAGTCTGGATGAAAATGAAGAGATTCTTTAACACCTAATTCCTATTTCTAATAGTAAGAAAACGTTACAAAAACAACAGCATTTGGATGTCAAGACATAATTGTGTTTTAAAGACTGTGGTCAATATTACCCCACGATAGCAAAGGGTCCGCCTGGGTTACCAAGAGACACTTAAGGCTCCCACAGATGATGTGCCCCACAATATAGCACAGTACAGTGCACCCTGGTTATGATGCCACCCTGGTTATAATGCCACCCAGGATATAATGCCATATTTTCACCTGGACAAACCAGGGTATACTGTATATATACTGATCAAATACCATTTACCATATACTAGTCAGTGACCATCATACTGCTCTAGGAATACCCACATAATGCTTAAAGAAAACCCTATAGCATTTAAAGAACACCCAGTGTGTTTATATGACTATAGCTTCAGTCATGAAACAATATGCAAGAGCTGAATTTGACAGTAATTCAAATGCTAGTGTTGGTAATGGCCAAAGGATATACATGATATACTTGTTGTACGTAGAAACACAATTATAAGATGTCAGTGATATACTCATTCTGAAACAAGTCTTCCACATAAGTCTTCAAGATGAATATATTCTCAGGGATCCTTATCAAAATATTCTTGAAGTCAATTTAACACAAGCAGCATTAAATATTAAGTTTAACCTTAGCCCGGATGTAAACCAGTTTGCTGTGTCTTGTAGACAAATGGCAGAGGTAAATATTTTAAACCTATGTGTTTTTGTGTCAGTCCCAGACCTGTCTTCTGAAAGCAGCCAGAATGACCTATTGTCCTCTTATCTCCATGATAAATGAGAGGTCCTCTTTATCTCGGTGAAGCTTTACCACTACTGACAATCAGCAGAGCAGGAACAACATTTTCAATTCGTCCAACTTCCTACCATAATATAAGCAACATCCCCACAATTTTTCAAGATCATATTCACTGATATCCTACTCTGGGAAGCATATATACAATTTACAAACAACTTCAAAACTATACTAATATTCAACATACATCTGACTGTCTGCATTAATTAAAACAACCTTCTACTGAAAAATAGTGAAAGAAGCCCTAAATCTTTTGCATTACGACATTACTTGGTCAGGCTGTTAACAACAGAGATATGAAAGAATCAGGTGTGTTCTTTTCAGTGGCAAACATTCCATTGCTTCATGAATACATCAACACGATAGTGGCAGAATATCATTCCTTCAACACACATTTAGGTGGGGTTGTAGAACATATATTCAATATGAGGTGATTCTTGTTATGCAGTCAATATTAGCTGAGAGAAAGTGAACTGGCTTCAAATAATTAAGTGAGTATATATTCAATATTAGCTGAGAGAAAGTAGCATGGAAGCTTTGGGTGGGTTTTTCATCCCAATCCCTGAGTAAACTTCAACAAGCCTACATACTCACACTAGCAATCAACAGGAAGTTATCTCTAGGGATATAGCCATCAACAATTTTCACCATCATCACCTACCTGTTGTGTCTGTGGGACTTGTCTGCTGGAAACTATCCCCAGGTAAATATATCACAGTCAGTATCACCCACAACACATGCACCATTTTGAAGGAAGTCACGCACATATTTCCACTACACACACACCAAGTCCAAATAA